CTACCCTGCGATGGACTGCTGTCTCAACCATGGTGTATCCTGCCTTGCTGGGACAGACTTTGTCACCCTCACGTCGGTGTACTGGGTAAAGTGGTTAGAAAATGGATGGATGCATTACTCTGTGTATTATTCAGTAATTTGTTCTACTGTTGGGCTACAAAGATTTCAGATCAGTGTTGCTCTTTGGTTCAGTCCCTAAATCCATCCAACAATCCATTACCAGCAAGCTACTTATCCTGCTGTGGTCACAACAAACTAGAACCTCTTCCAGAATCACAGGACACAAAGCATGAGTGCTCTGGGACTATAAACTAGATGCCAGTCCACTGCAGGGCCACTGTGAAAGGGGCAATTTAGAATAGCCAATCTAGCCTAGCCAAAATGTATCTGAAGATGAGAAGACATTCTGTGAGAAATGTCCTGGAGAAAGACAACAAATTCCACAGTACTCTAGCCTCCACCTCAAATCAAAACTGATATGAAACCAGCTAATTCAAAGGAATGAACAGATTGACAAATCAAACTGGACCTAGATCTTGCAGTGGGTGTAACTGAATACTTATTTTCACATACTGTATCTCTGTTATGTTATTTCAATGCTTTACAGTACATATTAAGAACTCTTTTTATTTACAGAATAGGAAACTGTGTTACTTAAATGGAGAGACAATCCCTTACCTACCAGAAGATTAACAGAACATTTTTCTCAAGACACCAGTCCTGCTGGATTTTGAACAGCGCCTCTGTATCTCATCAATATGCCTCTTGATCACAGGCTGCCTTCTCAAAGCATAACCGAGCAGTGGTTCACTTAGCTCTCCATATTTAAGAAGCTTAAAGGAAAGTAATTTCACCCAGCAGAAATTCAATATCTTCCAAGCTTTTCTGATATTTCATATCAAAGAAATATAAAAATGGATTTAACTGCATTCATGGCAAACAGTGGAAAAAGGAGAATTCTGACAAGCATTATCTGTCTAAAGTATTAAACTGTTTATATATATTGCATACACATGTGCTAAGTCTGATTTTGGTAACTATACATAATATAAAATCACACTTAGTTACTTAGACTGGTGCACCTCTGCCATCAGTCTGTAATGATCCATATACACTAATAGGTCTTTCACACAATTCTGAAAATGCTGATTCAGAATTTACTCACAACCAATCTGCAGGTTCCAAATGGGCACTGCTGTCATCTTTGGCACAGAATGTGTGAGTTATATATCTCTATAAATTAAAATGGGGTTTCAAAGGGAAGCTTTTATATTTTAAAACAAGGTATTTACTGGGGTTTCTGAACTATCCCATTTAAAAATACTCTTAGTTTTTTCTCTCATTTTTGTACTCCCATGTTCACTATTCTTGTACACTTTGGCTGATTTTTATGTTTGTATGGACATTCATGGTTTTCAATTGATATTTTATGTCCAGTTTTGTCCTATAAACATATGAATTTCCACATTTACTGTATGCAGAAAGTCTCAATAATTCTTACAAATACTGATAACAAGAGGTCCTTGCTGGGCTTTCTAGTTCATATTATTGCTTTTTTATAGTTAAAATCTTCAGAAACTGTTTCACTGCTCTGATTTTTAGCTTTTTTACGTTTCAAAGTGATCTGTCTCTGGGTTCATAGCAGAAATAAAGGAGGGAGAGCTATATAAAAATGAAAGTACTGTTTTAAGGCATATGTAATGATTAATGTGACTTGAAAGAGAGAGTGAGATACAACATCTGTTCCTGGATTGAAACTGGCCTCCTGTCTATTGCATTGCCCTACAAAAAATCAGATGAAATTCACTGACCCATTTTCTTCTTAACCCAGTACACCCAGGGAATAGGATTTGAAATCTGAACAAAATAAAATCTGAATAAAAAAGAAAAACAAAAACAAAACAAAAGTTATGCTTGTATTTAAATAAGAGGGCTTATGAGGCAGATGTTGTTAGTGTTAATCGTCAGTCTAAATACTGTCGTTCCCAAAGATTAATTTAGCTCCTGTCCTATGACCACCTTTGCTGTGTTCCTTGTCAGATGATTTTGATTCTGTCAATCAGACATGTCTGTCCGCTGTGATCACCTAATGTAGCCTGTCCCTTGACCTTGCTTAACAGCACATCAGCCTTTAATCCATTTCATACAGGTCATCACTACCTTTCATATTAAGGAATATGAAGTGACAACATTTTGGAAGATTCTTCCTACTGCATACCTATGCTTCACATTTCCTCTTATCATCAGGTGACCCGATTAAATCATTTTCTTGTAATACTGTATTTAACTTTTTGTACAGTGGTAATCCAGGAAGCACAAGAACTTGCTTTTCTGTGTTGGCTCAGGGAAATAGCTACAGTACATATCAATCTCTATAATCTGTTTTATGAGTGCGGAAACACTGACTGCTGAAATAAAACTTTGTTCTACACCACTGCACAGAAAGCACAGTATACGGTAACCATAGATAAAAAGTAACATTTATAAAATCTTACTGCAAGTTACAAACCTAAAGCTGTAAAGGTAATGTAAGCATGGTTGCAAAAATGACAAAGAATATGAAAACACAAGTTATTCCTTGATTTGGGAGGGAGCATGAACGAAAAATGGAATGAAGGAGAAGTTAGTGCTCTTGGGTGAAATTCTGGACTGGGGTGCCTTCCATGTGGAGTTTGTATGATTTTTCTGAGTGTAATTTAATTTCCTTCTCCACTTCCAAGGACGATTGTTTAATTTTTTAAATTGTGGTGTATCTAAATTGTGGACTGTGCAGGTATATGTGTACTGTATGTGCACTGAAATCCTATCCAGGGTGAAGTACTCCCTTGTGCCAGCATCTTCCAAAATAAGCTCCAGGTTGCCGTGGCAGGTTAGCTTCAATTGAAGTCCTCATCCAGGCCTATACTGTCCATACTTTCCAATGCAGGATGTTTAAGGGCACACCCTTACAAATGTAAATAGGCTCTGGAAGGCTGTGACACTCATTAAAAGATGAATTTTAACATCTGTCTGGAATTTGACAGGAAGCCACTGGAGATATTGCAAGGCAGGAGTTATACTGTACATATGAATGCCAGAATGAGGCCTGGTCAAATACTTGGAAGCAGAGGTACAGTAGGAACACAGTGAGATTTACAAGGCATTTTTCAAAACCCCAACAACAAGGACCTTACAGTAGCCCATTCTACATGAGACAAAAACATACAGTAGTTCCTCTGCAGCAGATATTGCCAGTTGTATGGGTTATAGTGAAGCAATATTCCTAAAATAGAAGAAAGTGTTGTTGGTTGTAATTAACTTCTTTTTATTGGTAACTATAATATTCTTTACTATTTTGTATGAATAATACTGTACATCAAACAAGCAAGTTATTCAAACAATTTCAATGTTTACTGTATTTATTAAGCCATTCTAAACTAATTTAAGCCATGTGCAGATATTTTTTATAGTTTTATGTGAAATATGTATTAATTTAATATTCCAGTAAAACATTCCAGTACAATATTCCAGATAGTAAAAACCTTATGCCTTTGAATTTTAGCTTTAATTTAAGACATAAAACAGGCTTCTACTTATAAACATACAGAGATATTACAAAATGTTTGAAGGGACATCATACCAGGTGGAAATGTACTCTTGTTCCTGAGACAACAAGTGTTGTTTTTCTGTTATGGTTTTTCTGTTATTATTTCACTATTTTATACATTAATACATACTGTAGGTTGAGAAAATTTTAACTGTGATATCTGAAAGAAATACTATCCAGTTAATACAGTACTTGTTATTATTGAAAGAGAAAACTACTTGTAGAAAACTGTTCTTGAGGTATATTAGATTATTATTAAATATAAAAATATGATTATGGCAAATGTGAAATGTTCTCATCTGAAGTTAATTTACAGAACCATCAAAATCAATGTGGACCATATCCATCCCATCAAACAATAAAGAAAGCATCACCTAACATTGGCAGTTCTTCTTTTTTAAAGAACACTGTAAAGAGTTAATACTGTAAATACTTCCTCAGTACATTAGAACAAACATCTGTTAACTAGGTTTAGTGCCTTGGGTCCTTCAGTCTGTTCTGAAACAAAACTGTTCAGGTTTACTGTTTACAAGGCTACCAGCTTTAAGCTATGAAGACTGTCAAGCTGTTACAGATTTTAACGTAGGGGATAAATAGTGCCAAAACTAGAACTTACTCAATACTAAAACATATTGTATATCTTCATGACAAACGTAGACATACTGTACAACATCAATACAGAGAAGAAATTAAGCAGCCCAACCTGTGATGTACTCATCTGATGTCTAATACAGCAAATTAAAAGGGCATCAAGAGAGAACTTTCAACAAGGTATTTTTTATGTCATATCCACCTTATTATGATCTCTCCTAACGTCCTCCTGTACCCACAACGACTGTACTCCTACACCACCACACACACATGTAAGCCGAAATTGTACTGTCCCCTCGATAGCCCAGTAAAACTGTAACAGGCATAATAATATTTAATATTTATTAATTAACCATACTACTTTTAACCATACTATTTTTTGCACTGTTCCAAGAATTACTTTGCACTGTTTTTGTCCTGTTATATTTTCTCTGTTTGCGGAATTTTGCACAGTTTTGACTACTTGATTACATGTTATTTATGTGATGTTATTACATGTTACTGTTATTGCTATTGTGTAACTATCTATTGTCTTATCTTCTGTACTATTTATATACTGCACCTGAGTGACTAATGAGAAACACTTTTCATTATACTATGCACCTGTGTAAGTGCATAGTAAAACTTACTGTGTAAGTTTAATGACAATAAAGTTGAATTGAATTGAATTGAATTGAATATCGCAGACTCTCTTGTCTACAGAGGTGATGGCAGGTATTGCACTCATTGGGATTGAGGACTGATTTGTTTGCAGGCATCACTGTAAAGCAATGCAAAGTTTAGAGTGCCGAGAGTTTAACAGGAAGTCATTGTATCTTGACAGGAGTTCGCAACACTAACAAAGGAGCTTAATGGTTGCAGAGAGCAGCTTCTGGAAAAAGAAGAGGAGATCTCTGAGCTGAAAGCAGAGAGAAACAACACTAGGGTAAGATGGTACAATTTAACGTACAATCTAACAATCTGTTTAATGTTGGCAGAAGTATAGAACTATAAAGTCGTGATGGATCAGAACAATAAAGTATGCTGGGTTCAAATCCTGGTAGAACAGTACTACTATTATAACCTTGAGCAAAATGCTTTGCTCAAATTGCTCTAGTTAATGGCCTGCTGCATAAATGGGTCTCAAGACCATCATTGTAAGTGAGAATTTGTTTTCAGCCTTGCTTGGTAAAAAAGTGCTACAAGTTAAAATCAGAATGGGGAATGCTGGGGAATTTTAACGTTTCTAATGGAATTCAAAGGGTATATTTTCATGTATTACATTGTTACATTGCAATGCATTTATTAAAAGAGAATGCCTAATAAAGAGAAAAGCACAGAAAGCAGTTTTGAATTTGATAATAGTGTATGTCTGCACACATTTATGAGACCTTCGTTTTAGATTGTTTCTAGTTAACTGGTTCAAGTCTGTCTCTTTAGAATAGTAATTAACACCAACTATACAGTAAATGATACAAATTGCGTTGGGCACACAGAGCATGACTTTGGAAGGATCACACTGATGGGGTGTGAAGAAATCTCTGGCTGCTTAGCAGTCTCATGACAGGTACTAGTCACTGCAGGGAAGTTACAGCTGTATCCTCAGTCTGCAACTTGAGCTGTCAAAAATAGCACACATAGTGAGAATTTGTTCGTTTGCTTTTAAGTGTTGGACAAGAGCTTTACCACCTTGAGCTTGAATTTGTCTGATCCTTAGGCTTAGGAATCCTGGGTCTGCTTAGTACTGGAATGATAGACCTCTAAGGAAAATCAGGGTGCAGGTGCAAGTGGTGTTGGTGGAGCAGAATGTGATACTTTTCAGTCTCAGACATTTAACTGGATGAAGCTATGACTACTTGGTTGTTAGTAATCCAATGGGACTGTTCATGAAAGTAGTATCTTGGCTAAATTCTATTTTGGGCTTGCTTTGTAGAAGCTGCCATACATCATTCAGGAGGATGCTGTAGTTCAGTGATGGATAAAATGAACCCCCTCCTATGTTTAAAGTACTTATACAGCTGCAAAGCACTATGTTTATTAGTTATTAATTGGACATGAAGTCTATCATTCCTTTTGAGGGAATACTAACCATACAGTGCCCTCTTCTCTCCCAAAGCTTCTTCTCGAGCATTTGGAGTGTCTGGTGTCGCGACACGAGCGGTCTCTCAGGATGACGGTGGTCAAGAGACAAGCCCCACCACCCTCAGGCGTCTCCAGTGAGGTGGAGGTCCTCAAAGCCCTCAAGTCCCTCTTTGAGCATCACAAGGCTCTAGATGAGAAGGTGGGATGCAGTTTATCTTCAATTGCTTAAAATACTGTATATCACCTTGTTTGCTCAACTCTTAGTAGTCTAATATATGAGCAATTGTTTTTTTTTCCTTTGTGCACCATTCTAAATATGTCCTCTTTAAAATACTTCTCAGTCTTCAAAACTTATTGCAGAGGGTAACTGGACTTACGTACACAATGCTCTAATAGAAGAAAGACATCAAATAAGTGCATTGTCTAATGTTTAAAAGAATACATTCATAATCTGTCATTAGACAGTCATTTAAGGAGATTTTAACATTTTATTTTTTGGACTTGCATATTATCATACCTACAGTATCAGATTTAATGCAAATGGTGTATGCATAGTAAGTGCTCCTGGACAAAGGAATAATAATAAGAAGCACAGTCTGGAGGAAATATCTTTTTACAATGCTTACTATTGATTGATTCAAAACAGCTTTTCATTAAACATCAAAACAAGCATTTTCTAAAGTTCAGAAAGATATGTCCTGAAGAGGCCTTTTTGAAAAAAAAAACTAATAAAATAGTATATATTATTTATTATTAATTAGAAGATAGAAAAAGCAACATAACTTATATGAAATATAAATTCTAAACCAAATGCCTTTCAGCTAATTGTAGAAGTAGACTGTGCTATAGACGATGTAAGATTAAGGTTGGGAAATTGTGTTGTGCTTCAGTTCTGAAGGCCTGCAACAAAACCAAATTAAATGATTTTGTGTTCTTAAGGATTAGTGGAATTTACAGCACTTTGGTGCCACACTCTGTAGCGTTTGATAGGAAATGGCAATTAGGAAGTCTTTTCTCTGTCTTTTAGGTACGTGAGAGATTGAGGGTGGCGCTGGAGAGAGTGACGACATTGGAGGGGCAGCTTGCATCAGCCAATCAAGAGGTAACAGCGCTTCCTTTCTATCAAAGATAACTACTGTATAACCATATTTCGATTATTTCCTTTCGTGAGTGTGGCTTTGTATCTCCAATTATTAGAACAAAGCATGAGGTGCAAAACATAATTCGGAAAACATCCCACATGGAAGACAAAATCCAGAAGTTCTGTGAACAACCTGGAGCACAGTACAGTATTAATGCTCATTGTGGGGGGCCTATGTCCCCAGCATGTTTTATAGGTCTCTTAAATTCACCAGAAACCAAAGAACTGGGAACAGCTGTTAAACTGGATCAGCAAAGTCTTGTGAAATTAAGATAAACTAGGAATGGACAGCCAAGGATTAGAGGGGCAGCAGGAATGGAATGGAAACAGAACAGAAGAGTGTCAGTACCTACAGTACTACAGTACTAATTTATCAAACTGTCTAAACTTTAAACAATGATGTTCTTCCCTAGGTCTTTTAAGATTATTTGATCTTCCTGAATCAAGGAACTAGTTTATTGAGGTAGTGATTTTTGCATGTGCTTTGGTTGTACAGAATCAGGCACATGAAGAGCAGCCTGTGCAAGCAATTTGAATCTGGTGTCTAGCTAAATGTGCTACCTCTGCTTCACCTAGCCAAGGGATCTTCTCCATCAGGAATGGCTAAGGTGCTCCCTCTGCCTAATTTGACAAAGTTAAAGGATAAAAGTCATTACAGCCTTTCATAAGTGCTCAAATGCTGTGATATACAACAGAAGGTACACAATTTGCAATAAATCCATACATGATTCCCATCCAAAATACCTGTGTGTGAGCCCCTTGTAATGCAAAGAATGCTAAAGGAGGTTATGAATTTGTCGCCCAGCAGTATTGGGTTTAACAGCACTTGAAACAGATGGTGCTTTGCTTCTGCAAGTAACTGTAGTACTGCCACTGCTGTTTAAAGTTTTAGTTGCGAGATGCTGATCTCTTAAGATGGAATGAGCTAGCAATAGTTTATTCTCATTTCTGATATCACAAGCTTTGGGGTGTGTGATGTTAAAGCACAGCTCACTTGTCAGATATCAAATGCTGTGTGAATCTGGAGGGAGTATTAGAGCTCTCGGGATCCAAGAAAGTGCTGACAAAAGTATATGTTGTGGTTTGCAAAGCCATTATAAGGGGATTTTTTTCCTTGTTGTTTGTAATACAGGATATCTAGGTCAAGGCCTCCAGCAGTACAAACAGCTGTTTCCATACCTATCAAATTAGTGAAAAGAGAGGGTATTTTCACTTTGATGGTTTGCGTTACAGTTGTGCTAATGAGTCCTATTTATATTCACAAATAAAAGGGAAAGGCAATTGTATCTGCACACTGATGATCACAAATACAAGAAAGGAGATGGAGTTTCTCACAGCAAATCCTAGGACTGAACAAAATGTACATTATACCACATGTTTCACATTTCTTCCCATGAGAACAATTGGAAAGCATTGAAACTGTAATGGGATTAGGGTTTTTACGTATTTGCGTCATGTTTGTTTTACAAACTGTGCTAGTTTAAAATTTGTTAATGTCTTATTTTGCCCATAATGGATTTGCATCCAATTAGGGTGACTAAACTGACTTCCATTTAAAATATATGACTTCTGATAAATCCTCCTGCTAAAGTGAGTGTCAACTAATTGAAAAATCAATTTTCACAATTTAGCACAATTATCATATTTGTGGAAACCTTGTCTCTGTTACCCTGGGGCTCCTACTATGTATGTTATACTCGGCTCTTAATAACACATTCAATGTGTTTTGTGGTCATTATGTGTATGGTTTTCACTGTAGTGAATTCAGGTTTTCTGATTTAGTACTATTAAACATTGAAAAGAAACTAAAGAACTACAGTACCTTTGTAACAACGTAATTTGTTACAATCTTTTCCTTCCCTTTCAGAGAAAGGAGCTACTGTACTACAGCTTTAGTCTGCATTATGAGAAAAAAACTAATCTGATTACAGAAACCAGTTAATTCTCTCCATTACTGGTCAGGAAACCCACAGTGAAAGATGTTTCACTAATTGCATTAGTGACAATTAATTTGTGCAGAACATTCAACTGGGAGTTCCAAATTAATTGATTTTCATATTAATTAACTTTAAGATTAATTAATATCATGGTATCTTAATCTTTAATACAGCTCCATGTTTTTTCATTTATTCTCGACTTTTTTTGTAGAAACCAGTTATTCCTGGTGTCCATTCTTATTCCTAGCTGGTTATACATATTACTGAACAGGGCTAATTCCATACCTTTTCCGATGCCATTTATACTTGCTTTTATATGTTCTTTTTTAACTTCTAGTTGTTGTTTCAGTGCATAATAAGATGAATAGTTCTATTTTTACTTCTGAGGTCACACCTCTGCAATTGCCTCATCTTGTGCTCCACATTATTTATGTGAATATAAAGACTTTTTGTGGATTTCACATATAATAATTTAGAGAAGCAAAAAGAGCATGTCAACGTTTTATTTAAAAACACCTTGCAGAATCGGCATAAGCTATTTCTTTCAGGGAGTATATTCCTTACTTCTAGGTACTTGATGCAGTAAATCCTTTTCATCTGACCCATGGATGTCTTGAAATGAGGTTCTTTTATCATGGGCAAAAGTTAATTGACAAACTGCAGTGTATAATTCCAGTTCAACCTTTTATGTACTGTGTTTAAAATAGCTCTTCGTGAAAAACGAAAGTCTTGCAGAAAACCCGAGCACTACCACTCGCTGAGATTGTCTCTGTTGCTTTCAGTATGCGGGACTCTGGCAGAAAGGAACTGCATCCTAAGCAAAAAACAAAACTGGCTCAGTCACCATGGCTTAAGTATTATCAAAGAGCTTATAAGGAAATAGCATAGATGTGTCCAGAGGCCTGAACTGAAAATAGCTGAGTATAAAACTTCAGAATGTCATTAGGACCCAAGAAATACACTGTGAATACTGTACTGTACATCCCCTTTATTAGTAGCAGGTTTTAGGGGTATCGTAGTTTACTTGTAGCCAAGCTGGCCATGATTGGTGATGCAAATCAATAGGAGAGTTGTATTTTGCGAGAGTATTAAGCCATCTTGGCTGAAATAAGTTTTCCCAATGGTCAATCAACCACAGAACACAGATAATATGTAGTCATGAGATCTTTCCATTGACATCATCACTGAGAGCAATAGTGCATTTAGTCTCTGACACTCTTTATCTGGTCTGAAGGAGTGGTTACTGGAATTAAAAGTAATGTTTTTTGGGGACGGTATCTAATGTCAGTAAGGTTGCAGTGAAAAAAAGTTATCAATTTGAAAGTTCTCTATGAGCTGGAGATTAGGTTTAGCAGAAAGACAGAAGAAGAAATACTTTGTCATACTTTTGTGTCCATCTCAAATTACATTTCAGTAAGTTTCTGAAAACTCCTACAATTTCGAAAAAATCAGTGACCTATTTTGTTGTTGCTAAGACATATTGGAAACTTTTCAGTTTGTGCTGTATGACATCTGAAAAGATACAATGTGAATGTAGGGTGATGTGTACAACTACAGTAGGTAAACATCCAGTATGGACTTTGAGGAACCATGCTGGAAAAAATATCATCCTGCCCATTACCCGTGTTGAGAAACAGGTAATGAAGTAAGAGCTTTCTAGTTGTTATTATTGTTATTTTTGTTCAAATGATTTGTAAAATAAAGTTTAAAAAATTAAGCCTTTAAAACAGTCTTTTAATAATGGCTGATGTCTCTTTTTAAAGAAAAAAAAGAACTGTACATTACTGTCAGATTGCTGAATTGAACAGAATGACTGGATAACTGAAATAGTTTCACAAAAAAGACAGTAAACCCAGGCAGTAGACTTCAGTATTGGGGTGGGTAGCTGCGTCAGCATGCGCAGGCTGCAAAGGAACAAGTAATAGGTTTATTCCATGCTGAAAAAAAGAAGAAAGAGAACACAACGTTTCAGCCGTGGAGCCTTCTTCAGGTGTCACCTGACACCTGAAGAAGGCTCCACGGCTGAAACGTTGTGTTCTCTTTCTTCTTTTTTTCAGCATGGAATAAACCTATTACTTGTTCCTTTGCAGACTTCAGTATTGTACAGCCTTATATGATGATCCATGTCAGTTTTTGAACACTAATCCAATGGGTTTCATTTCTGGGGTTTTTGTAGTTACATGACTCAACATTGCTGTGCGTTTATTACTCCTGCTTGTCTGTTCATCAGCTCCTCGCAGTCAGGCAAAGGAAAGACAAGACTGAGGGAGACTCTGTGGATGGCATGGACGCTGTTTCCAAACCAGCATGGAAGGTAGGTTGCTGACACTGTACTTTATCTCGGATCCAATACTTAAATTACAAAAGGAGAATTAAACTACTGTAAGCCATTTGCAGTCTGCATACTTTGCTCCTCCAGCTGAGATTGTAGAATAGATAACCCTGTCAATCACACAGTCAGACACAGAAAGATATCTTCAGAAAGATCCATCAGAGTGAGTTCTTGTATAGTGTGGAAACTGAGATAAGTTAGTCCATGCAGACTGCTTAAGCAACTTATTAAGTATTTATAAACACTTATTGCTTTGGTAGTTGTGCACAGAGTAACAGAGCAATTAATTGAACAGGTTTTACAAACCCTCTTTTGGGCAAAGAACAAAGGTCTTTATGACAAATACAGCTTATTTATGTGATGAAATGTGTCTTTGTGGTAAAGCCTATGACACTTAAATACATTGACAGAAGGTTAAAATCCATTTCATAACACTAATGGTAAAAAGAGTAGGAACATCTGCAAATGTTGTGCACAGCAAATTTGTGAGGTACAAGTGAGTCAATACACAGTGAGATGCATATCAAACAAAGAGGAAAGAATTCTGGCAGAATTCTAACACCACTGAATAACTGTGGGAAAGAAGGTCAGTGAAGAAATGATGTTTTATATCTGATTTGGATATGTTTTTGGTCTGGACTCATTTTGTTTAAAATCAGTTTTTCAAACAATGCTATCTTCTTAAAGTTTACGAATGTTTTAGCTCCATAGTGTCATTTGTTGTGAGGTGGAATCTTAATGGATTTAGAACTGTTGATTAGTGTGCAATTTTACAACTTTTCGATTACAGTTACAATTTTGTTGTTTTACATAAGATGACAAACTGTACCTGACAGAACTGTAATTTTTTGAATGAAAAAAAAGAATGAAAAATTGCACACGAAATTCAAGAAGAAACCATTATTTTAAATATTTATGTACTAAACCTGTAATTGTAGATGCATACATTATAAGAATCTGAAAACTGGTTTTCCTGTAAGATGCAGTACTACACTGTTGTGTATTTTAATCACTTATAGAAGAGGGAACAGTGATTTCTGTACTAGGAAGAGCCAATCCACAGTGCCATCTGACTGAGGTCCCTCAAGGTTTATTTAATTAACACTACTGATTAATTCTGTTTTGGGCAAGAGTACATGAAACAGTCTCTTTTGAACATCACTCCAGTGGATCTCATTTCTTTTTTCTTTTTTTAGGTCAAATCATTAAAACTTCAGCACACAGCATGAGTATTTTAAAATTAAAAATGAACAAGTAAATGTTTGGAAGAAACACTGTAATGCAGAGAGTTTGTAGTATGAGAGAGGAGAAACACCTTTTCTTTATAGCTTGAAATATACCATCAAGCAAATTATGGGATGTTGTATGCACAATTTAGGAAGACAATTTGATATAATAATTTAATGAGCAGCTCTACACTTAATTTCTATACTAATAAACACAACTTTTACGTCTATATACAGTATGATAAATTTGCAATTCTTCAGATTTGACATAAACCACAGTTTCTTTAGACAAAAGTGTTCAGTTACAGAAACGTAATACAGTCCCAATACTTGGAAAATCATCTTGCCATTATTGTTGGCTTCTGAAATTGTGTGGGACAAGCCAGCAGAGACACAAACAGAGAGCATGTTCCTTGTACCTCTTTGTAAATGGGAAAGAGATTAAATCCTGAATTGAACTAGAATCACAACCGAGTGGCCTAGATGGGCGGAATGGCCTTCTCTAGGTTGTAACCTTTCATATGTTCTTATGTTCTAAATTAAACTAAAACTCAAATATCAAGTCACATGACTTGAACTCTGCTTTGTTAAGGAGCAATACTATTCAAGCATTGAAAAAACTTGTCTGCTCACTATTTTAAATGTAACATTATGTGGATAATATTATTATATAATATGATATGCACCACTCATTTGCTTAAAACTGCACACCTCCCATTCCTGAGTCACACTGTTCTTCTGAAACAACAACCCCACCATTCCAGAAGTCTGGCCTCCTGTTGGGGAACAATTCAGATCTATAAAGGTTTCTAGGGATTATGTCTCTGTCCAGGGCTCAAGTATTTAATGAGCTCCATCACATGTGAAACCAGTGACCTATGATTTAAAGCTTAGACTGTTGGATTTCCATTTGTGCAGCATCATAGACTGTAGAAGGAATGTCTCAGCTTTAATTTCAGACATGGCAATGGACAAATATAGCCCCACACACAGTCTCAAACATTCTTTTGTCTGTTAGAGTGCCAAGATGGGTAAGAGCCATAGTTTTAAATAAAAAGGCCAGCTGCATAGAGTGAAAGAGCCTATCTGTAGCTCAACCTTATACCATCACCAGGGATCAAAAACACTAATAAAGACAATATACAGTACAGTAGCATGGTGCAGATAGCTGCCTTTTAGATCTCACTGTAAATCACAGGATTGAAGAAACACTCTTTGCACAAATTCAGCTAAGACTGTCTGATACAGGATGAAAGGAAAATTATTAAGGATGTCTAATGTATGCAGACTGCATTGCATCAATGACATGATTTCATGCCATTATGACCAAGGCTCAGAGGGTCATGTCTGACTATTTACACAGACCAGATTTTGGTAAATATGGTGAAAAACTACACTGTCTTGAAACGGTAGCAGTAGTAGCAGGTGCATCTCAGTAGTTGGTTCTATTCTCTACTTGTATAATATTCTTCCGTTTATCCTTTAATTCTAATTCTGTCATAAACTACTTGCTCACACAGCTACAGTACTTGATCAAACAAGCTGTACTAAGCATTGCATTGGACAGCTGACTACCGCAAAGCCAATGCTTACTGAGGTGCAGGTTTTAATACTCATTCCTCCTAGGGTCAGTACAACCTATGGGGATCCATTTAATCCCTGCCCCATAATGCTAATACTTTTTTAAATTTGTAGTGTACATTTAAAGCAACATAGTCTTAAAATCGATTAATTATTAACTTTTTCATACTTTAAGTTTGTGCCATAAAGCCACATTGAATAAAGAAAAATGACTGAAAATGTATGGATAATCCAACATCTCTAAGTTTAATGGTCTAAGAAAGTATTACTTAGCCTTGACACAAAGGTTAGTAGTACTGTCTTACTATAAAGGAAAAAGAAACAGTATTCTTATACTTATAGTATTGTTCAACATATATAATGACATAAAATTATTTGAGCATTTTTACTTTGATGTACTGTAAACCAACACCACATTTAAAAGAGTTGATATTGTAATGACCGCGTGCATGGTGCTCGGAATGGAGCAGGCATGGGACTCAAGGAACTGGGTTGAACAACACATTTGTTAACTCGAACCAGGGAAAGGTACACACACAGGGGCAGGGGTTACAGGGCTGCACCTACACTAACATACAAACACACAAAGGGAAGGGACTGTCTCCCAGCCTCTGCCCCACTATATACAGTCCTGTAGTCCCGCCCCCAGGCGCTGTTCTCAGGCAGCCTTGCGTGCGCATGACTAAAGAGCCCCACGTGGCGCTACAATATTAAATAATGAATAATTATGTTTCTAAATTACCCCAAGACCAAAGGAAGATAAAAAAAAAACATTAAGTACTGTAAAAATAGTTGCTTGAGTCTAAAAAGATTTGCCCTTATAGGGAAGTGGGCTAATACATTTCCTGCCATCAAGATACATTTTGTTGTTAATTTGAAGTGTATTCTAAACTTTGGAGTATAAAGGATAGTTCCTCTACAGCAGTAACCACATGGGACTACAAAGAAGGAACATATGAATTGATCATTTTAACTGCTCAGGTCTTTTTTCATTGATTGACTCACACACATACAAAATGAGAGACTAGTAAGGTTCATTATCAGAATTGTAAATGCCTTGGTAAAAGAAAAAAACCTGGAATCTCAGCTCCTACCTGACACCAAGATTTTGTTTTTTAAAAAAAGGAATTCACCTACAACCCATATTTCAATAGGGAACCAGAACTTAGGATATTATGATTGAGGTTTAAGGATGAGGGAAGAACTAGAGAACTAATGACTTTCAGTTGCTGTGGATTAACCAACACAAACCTTCCCTCCCTGACGTTTATGCACACTGTGGGTGTGTTGTCCTGTGATTCAAGAGGCTGCCCAATGGCTCCATTGATGCCCATGATGAGGTGAGCCGCACTCTGGAGCTGCAGGAGCTTCTGGACAAAGCCAACCTGGAGCTGGCGCAGAGCAAGGAGCGAGTGAGTGCCCTGAGCACCCGGGTGGCAGAGCTGGAGACAGACCTTACCACGGCCCGCAAGGACCTCCTGAAGAGCGAAGAGCTCAGCAGCAAGTACCAGCGAGACATCAGGGAGGTGAGAGTGATCAATCATGGAACAGCATCTCCAAACTGGGAGCTCGGCTTTTACCAATAGGACTGTTTATCACTTGTATTCGCTGCTGACTCACCACTTTCCTTCCGCACAGTCCTGTGGCATATTTCTGATTTCCCCCTGGTTTCATTTTGCATCGATTTTTATTTGCCTTTCTAACTCAGTTTCAATAGTGGTTTGTTTTGATAAGGTGCTTCAGTGCTCATTCATGACCAAAGACTGGTATGTATATATATATAAATGGAACTCATCTTGTTGCATTTAGAAATTTTGAATCCTTTAGAAGCAAAGCTGAAAATTCTGCTGAAAGGAAAATACCTGAGAAATAAATCTCTTCTGCTTTGTGTTTTGAGAAGATTATTCAGAAATATTGGAATTTGAAAAACATTATGAAGCATGCATGCTCTTCACAACCCTGTTATCTTTATTGCATTTACACATCTGTTGTCTTGACCCAGAGTTTATTTTTTTACTACAGTATATGCCTGTTTCCTAGGCTATGGCACAGAAGGAAGATATGGAAGAGAGAATTACAACTTTGGAAAAACGTTACCTGGCTGCCCAGAGGGAGACGACATCGATCCATGACCTTAATGACAAGCTGGAGAATGAACTGGCCACCAAGGAGTCTCTATACCGCCAGGTAGCATACAGACACTGTATAGCACTGATACTGTACTCAATGATAAGGATGGCAAATAGAAAGAAAATTGCTATATAATTGTGTAACTAAGTTTAACTGGCATAAAACCATTAAACTGAAATGTAGTGGTATTTTAAGAAGTGTCTGAGGCCTGTATATCCTCAGTTCACTAGACATCCTGCCTGACATGTCACAGGCTGAAGGTGGTGTATGCGTATCTTTTCAAAGCAGAGATGATCTAGTCTGAGCTGTGTCTGTTTCTGGAGAGGAGCTGGCACGTATATCTGGCATTTGTCCCTGCTATTGGCTGATTCCCAGCATGATTCTGTATGTGTGTGTCGTTCCCTCTGGCAGAGCGAAGAAAAGACCAGACACCTACAGGAACTGCTGGAGCTGGCAGAGCAGAAGCTGCAGCAGACCATGCGCAAGGCTGAGACCCTGCCTGAGGTGGAGGCGGAGCTGGCTCAAAGAGTGGCCGCGCTGACCAAGGCAAGTTCACAAAAACTCATGGAACATCCTTGTATAAAGGCCTATACAGTACACTACATTTGTAGTAGGCCCCTTTTGAAAAAATAGTATTACCTGTGACAATCAGGTAATAAAACTGTAACAAAATGCAAAAGGCACAACCACATTAATGATATCTGAACCTTGTGCCTCATGTACGTAGAAGACATCGACAAAAAAGCATACCTTCAACTCATTACATCTGTGTTTATTTTCTCACCACTGGCTCTGAATAGTGCTAAATTTTAATTCTTTATCTGAGAAAATTGGGACAATGAGCATGTCATATAATGCACATTTCAAAAATAATCTTGAGAATTACTGTATGTTCAGTTAACACCTAAAATGTGTTTTGATATTGTTGTAATTTTCCTTCAAGGGGTTTCGAATTAGAAACAACTATCTGATGCCTGACAGAAATTAAAAGGACTAGAAGAGATATTGGGGAAGGGGATTTTCCAAATCCTTTTGCACAGATCATAGAAATAAATGTACAGTATGTATCATCATTATCAAAATTACTGATGTTATTATTACTACTAATAATGTTTGATAGATTCTTTTCAGGCTCCTTCCAGACACTTTCAGCTTTCTTATTTGCTATTTTAAGAAGCTGTTTTATCCTTGATCTGCTCTGAGAGGTTAAAATTAATGAGTGCCCACTGCCTTGAATACATCCCTCAGCTCATGGTTAAATCCACAGAGAAACATTTAGCAAGTTTCTTTCTCTGTCAGAAAGTGATAAAGTCCATTAAGGGTTTGACTCACCAGAACTAATCTGTCTCCTGAAAAAAGACCAAACATAGAGAAGCTTAATCTGTGGCTGCTGTGGTCTTTTAATAAGTGTTGCTAAAACTACAGTGTCAGATGCCTGGTGTGCCAAAGATTCTAGAGTCATGTGTTTTAATACGCCTTTATTTATATATAAATTCAGTTTATATAAGTATCCAGTTTATATACTGGTGATCAAAACTGGGTGATTTAACTGAAATACTAAGCTAATATCAAGGGTAGTTGTAAATTTGAATTTATTTGAGCAAAGCCTTACATTTTTAACAGATTAAAAAGTGTACTGTTTAGATCAACAAATGTTATGTTTAAATTGGATAACTCACCTCTAAGTAAAAACAATACTAAAAATGAGCAATCAGATACATTCTCTGGATCAAAGAAGCCAAGAAGATTACAGATCTTCAAAGGCACTGACAGACAACCCAGTGGGTCTCTTCATTCAATCAACAGTAAAACACAAACCAGAGGACACAACTGACAGCTACTAGCAACTACTAGCAACTCCTTAAAGCAAAGAGCATTTAAAACCTTCTCACGCTAAGTGTTGGGAATAAGTATTATGCTATCCAGCCATGTTGCCGAAACTCATATACTGTACTTGCTGATACCCTTGGTTTATTTCAAGAAATGGATAGATGGGTTCCTCAGATCAATTAGATCAACTAACACTCCTCTCATTTGTAACCTGTTTTAAGGTTCTAAAGTTTTGTTTGTGTACAATCTAAAGACAAAGTGTAATGTCATCCTTTCATGCTGCCCCTGTTTAGTCAAATTTTATAGAGCATCTTCTGTGTGGGAGTGATATGAAAGTGATGTGTTTTCAGATGATACCTCTCCTACCACTAGACAGAATGGGTCTTCCTATTCCAGTCTCTGGCAGCACTTTGTTACAATCCATAATTATATAATTAACCTTGCCGTGCATAGAAATATCTACATTTTGCAATGAAGAGTTGTGAATTTATAGAGATGAATAGAATGAAAACAACAGAAAAGAATACAACTGGAATGTTGTTTTAATAAGAGAAAAGTGTTGTTTCTGTAAGTATTAATTAGTATCTGACTTGAGTCCTTTTAGATCTTTTTTGCTAAATGTTTTGCACTTAGATTATTTGGAATACATGCTAGTCCAGTACACAGTACAGATTAACATCTTTTATAGTACACACTGTCTCCTAACTTGTTCACACTTGATTGGCTTGTTTGCTAAGTTTATGTGTTCTCTAGTTTTCAAGCTGAACCTGAGTATTGACTGATCTCACAAATGCCACAGTTTCAAATAAGGCAGTACTGCTGGGAGTCCTGTTCTAGAGGAAAATGTCTTCCACATGGTCACACAGTTTATATATAGTTAGCAGTGAAGCTGGTTAAAAAAGAATACAAAATTAAAGTATGAATACCCTACAAATAAAAGGATACAGTTATTTCTATCCTTGCACTATATCTGTATTCTGCTCATGCAGTATGTTCTAGTGCCTTTTTATGCCATAATACACAACGGAGACACGCTGCTTCAAAACAGGAGGGAATGCATATCATGTTGTTTTTCATTTGAATATTCACCAAAAACATCATGCACAAATTATTTTGGTTAGGAGATTTTTGGAACAAAAATACAGCATTATTTAACAGTGAATTGGGTCTTCTTGCTGGACTTTAAGCATTTTTTGTGTATTAAACATGTATCGACCATTTCACAAATAAGTTTCATCTTTTCAAGTTTAGTTAACATCTACAGTGAAGTACTGGAGTCATTATCATATGACTCCAGGAATTCTGGGAAGAGAGAGGCTTTTCCATTTGCATTTGGTCCAGCTTGTACTGCTTCTACCAAGGCACTGGGCTGTTCTCCCTAGTGTGGCAGAAAAGAGTATCGGTGTGGAAAACCTATTAGTCGTTGGTGGTGGCAAACCACCTCTGAAGAGGTTCAGGAACACATGAAATTGTGTTTTCTGTGTCTGTTTTCTGTCTTTCAGTTCCCAACACTAATGTTTTCCTTTCCCTCCAGGCGGAAGAGCGACACGGCAATATTGAAGAGCGCTTGAGGCAGCTGGAGTCCCAGCTGGAGGAGAAGAACCAGGAGCTTGCCAGAGTGAGTGGGTTCTCAGACAGAAATCCTGAGGGGAGCTTTAGTCAGCACTCTCCCAATGTGTGTCCCTCTCCAAAGCCAATACTGGGCCCAGCAGGCGCGGTAAGGGGCCATCCAAATAATATATCATCAAACAAAAAAGTTTTTAGCCAACTTTAAATGATTGAATTAGCCTGAACTGAGCTGCGTTTGATTGTATCTAATCATTCCATATACCATGTATCATGTATGGATCTTTAGTTTGGAACATACATATAGCAACCATTGACCAAGAGCATCAACAGCTTCATAGCAGGATAAAAAGCAGAAGCATGTGGGAACTCAGGACTATTTTTTTTTCTTTAATGAAACATTAAGTGCAGAATTGTACCATTTATAACATGACAAAACACCATCCATGCGCCAAAATACAAACATACTGTACATGTACTGTACATAATCAGCAGGCTAACTTCGATGTGCAGTATATTGAGCTTATTATACAGTATAGTATTTGGATGGCCCCTAACAACACCAAGCTTCTCCCACACTTGGAATGTAGGGATACACAGATACTTCTATATCCTTCGATATCCTTCGGCAAGGATACCTAGTATACTTCTGTATACTATATTTTCATCAGGCACTTATTAGACTGTCCTTGATCACACAGTATCCACACTAGGTCACATCCTGTCCCATTGAATGCATTTATAATGCTAAGTAAACAATTATGAATGCCATGTCAACATTTACTTACAGTTTGGGTAAAATTGGTTGTCTAGTTTCAGAGGTCATGTGTAAATCGCTTTTTTTGTGTTTTCAGACTTTGTGAAAATAGTAATTGACCTGTGAATGAAAATATCATGTCCTAAGGAAACCCAGACTGATTATATTAATCTAAAATAATTACAATTTAACTGGAAAAAGATATATAAAAAAAATATGTTGACTAAAGTTTTTTTTTAATTGTAAATAAATTAGATCAGTGTTTAATGACTACAGGATTCAATACTTTCATTATTATATACTCATATAGACACATTTAAGAGCTTCTCTTGTGAAGCCTGATTAGAATTGCTACCTTAAAATCCAGAAGCTTACATTTTTGTTAGATGTCACTAACCGGATATGTGAATACAAACCTAAAAACAGTTCCCCCTGTCTATAGATATTTCACAATGAAAAGTAATGTACTCCATTCCAGCCGGGGAGTCTAAAATACAGCTGTGGTTTCCTGGCTTAGACCCAGTGTTTAGATGATTGCTGTTGTGAGTTCCGTTCTGATTGCTGTTGTGAGTAAATGAAGATGTAGGTGTTCAATATTACAACATAAATAAGCGGAAATATTTGGGCAATGTAGCACAGAAAGGATGAGTCAGTCTGCAGCAGGTTTGGTTAGTGTGAGCACTGAGGATACTGATAATGGTACTAGCTGGTGGATAGCATGATTATCTTATTTACTGCTAAATTAAGCAGTGCTGTGGATTGCCTGGTCAGCTCCATCAAGTGCACTAGGTCTCATTCTTAACAACTGTATTTTGTGCAGTGTTATGAAAGTGGACCCTGGGAGTCCTTTCATATGCTCTACAGATCTGTGACTGAGCTGTAGCAGAACAAAGTAATGTACTGAATACCAGGAGGTCTTGTATCTGTCAGTTGTGTCAGGTTGTCTTTCTGTTGCCTGTTCTGATCTGAAAAGTCAAGCTCTTCTATTGCAGTGTCTCCTCCACTTTCCTGAAGCCTGAAGTACCTGGAATCTCAACACATTCCCAACAGTAACCTCAATTCTCTCTTTCAACCCAATTGGCTGTTATATTTAGGCTCTGAATAATTCATGCATTCCTAATTTCCCTCACAGAGAACAGATAATTATGTTTACTTGAAAGCATTTGCTTTTGTTGAGTTAGTGCGCTGCAGTGTAACCTCTGAAAAGGCTTGAAGACCTCTAAATGTAAATTTAATCAGTTCATTTTCATCTACAAACGGTATACTGTAGATTGAAGTGCATCATAGGCCTGTTCAAGTCTTGTCCAGCACTACAGAAATTTAGACCTATTGTCCTAAAAAACAGGCTTATACTGTAACATATGCATACAATATTTTCTCATTCCTAGGTCATTATTCCATTATACCAGTGTCATTAGAGGCATTCACAGGTACAATCATTTTCAGTGTAGGAACCATTTTCGCTTCAATTCTGTCTAAGAGTTTTTTTACATGACTTCATGCAATTTTAATCAAACTGTCTCATTCAATTAATCATTATACAGAATTCATATGTCATTAATCAAATTATATTTATATGACTATGAATGCATAATGCATGAACCTCTGCAAATTTCAGTATTCATGTGCTATATGCTTAGCATGCTACTTTTTATAATTGAATATTAGTAAATTGATCCAAATTACAGCTGTCATTCTTGACTATAGTTTTGTTATTGTGTTTGGTACTTTTGGCTACATTGCTGTACTAGTAGCAGAGAATGCTTCAATGCTGCAGCCTTATTGCTCAGTACAGTATTAGACATGTCTGAACTGTGAGTACCTCTTTGTGATGTATTGTGCCACCTGCTGGTTATTCTGCTTATGAACAGTTGCTGGAGGCTTTCTCATAATTCAATATGTGAATATTTAAGTTATAACACTATACTTGAGTTGTTTGAGTTGAACAAACTTCACATTGTCAAATTATTCTGTTCCAAATGTACAGTATATGTCCATATTGAAAAGAACTAAAAATATACCCAGTAAAATACCCTGTAAAGTAAAATAAAATTCAAGTTTTTGAAGTCTTCCCAATATTGGTGTGCATAGCATTGAGGGATTTATTTCAGATGTGTGGCCTTTAGTTCTGACAAGGCTACACGAAGCCATTTGATACAGTACTGACCTGGCAACAGATCAGCGCTAAAGATCAGTGTGTCCACTCAGTCTGTGCTTTAATGTTTTGCCTTGAATGAAGCACAATTCTTTTATATATATCAAAAAGACGTTAAAACATTGAATTCCAGTAAGTAAGGTCATTTTCACAGCTGTCAGTTTCTCTTCATTACCAGTTGTGTGTCGGAGGATATGCTAGAGGTCACGCACAAGGTTCGACCAGCTTCTTTCTCACTTAGTATTTCACTGCGGCAGGCCAGGCAGAGAGAAAAAATGAACGAAGAACACAACAAACGTCTTTCAGACACCGTTGACCGCCTCCTGACAGAATCCAACGAACGGCTGCAGCTCCACCTCAAAGAACGAATGGCTGCTCTCGAGGACAAGGTGAGAACATGAGACGATTCAGGTGTTTTCTTCTTTCACAGTATTTACAGTATTCACAGTTTTAACAGTATTTGGACTTTATCTCCATTTTAGCAAGAGGTAGTAATATTCTAGGAGATATTCGGTTGTTGGGTCTCTGTTGTCTGCTAATTTACCATTGTGTTGAAGTGGTCTTAAAAGGACATCACAGTGACTGCTGCCTCATCACTACTGGGTCCTAGGTTTCAGACTGGGGCACCTTCTGTGTGGAGTTTGCTAATTCTCTCCATGCCTTTGTGGATTTTGTTTGTGTACTAAATCAATGAACAGTTTCAGATCCACCTCAAAGATTGAATCCCACCTTCTTAAGACACGCTAACTACAGTAGGTTAATTGTAAAAGGGATGCTAAACTGTCCCTGGTATTGTGCCTTGCAATGGACTGGAGTCACATCCACTGTTTTGTCCCTCTTTGCGCCAGTCACCCCTGAGATTGTCTCTGTGTTATCATGACCTTCATAAGTAATACGATGCTCTCTGTCAATAGATTTATATTGCAGGAAACCTCACAGATCTCTCAAAGACTGCTGCAAGGAAGAACTTGGAGTTGCACAAAGTTGTCAGCTCTGCTACTTAGATCTTTAGCATTGTTTCAGCTTCGGTTTGTCTTTTTATAAATGTTTTTTTTTTTGTACGAGGTTTAGTATTTGGAATTTTCCAGTTAAACCATGTTCCTTTTTTCCCTTCAGAGTTTGACTGTGTGTCCAGTTTCCACCCATACCATCAGTGACTGAGAGAATAGGCCCTAGCCCCCAGTGCACGCTGGAGTTAATCAGTTAAGCCCCTAGGATGTCTTATCATTCCTGTATTACTTTTATTTAGCTTCTTTTTTTGTAGAACACTCTTATTCAAGATTTGGAAAATACCCAAAAGCAACTCGAAGAGTATCATCACACAAAGGTACAGTATCTCTGAAAACTTGTTTTTTACATGCTAAATTTAAAACTAACATACAGTATGTACAAAATAATCTAATGTTGTATTTTATGTAAAAAAATAATAAAGTGGTTCTTGTAACCTTATAGAAATACTGTATAAAGGATGACAAAATAAAAATAATGAAAAATATATGTTAGATTCAGTTTATGCAGCATTATGTACAGTATATAGCAGTATGTACAGCAGTATTCCATTAGGAGTTCCATATCTTTTTAACTTAATGTTTTAGGAACGCCTAGTAAATGAAATGGAAAAATTAAGGGCTGAAGTTGAACATCTGAAAAGGAGAAGTGGCGCTTTTGGAGATGGCACACATCCACGGTAAATATAGCTCTCCGTGTCCGTCCTGTGTGGGAAACCACACAGTGCCGAAGATTATATTGCTAAACTTCCAGTCATTCAAGAAGCCTTTCCTGATGTGTCTTGTCGGTTTTCATTCAATATGCCTTCTTAGTAACTCTATAGTTTTTTTTTTCTTCATAAGGCATCCATCAGACTGTTCAAATAGAGCAGCAACACTCAGAAATGCACTATGCGTTTTCCTCATAAGCAGTCTCCTATTGACTGGTGACTATAGTAAATGATAATACGTCTGCTCTGCCCTGTGCTCAGGTCTCAGGTGGGTAGTGCCACAGACCTGCGCTTCTCCATTGGCTCGGTGGTGGATGCCCAGGCTGAGCACTTTGGCACCACAGCAGTAATTCGTAGAGCGCAGAAGGGCCGACTGGCAGCACTGAGAGACGAGCCCACAAAGGTGCGAACATATGGTGAAAAGACACAAAAATGAAGCAAAATCGATTCAGGTTTTGTAGTAATCTCCAAAAGAATGCTGATGTACAGTAAAATGGCTGTAAAAATAAATGTGCAAGAGCAGTTATCTTGAGCAATGGGCTTGTGTATGACCAAAATGTGTGACTGAAAATAACAGCATGGAGCAAAATGTCAGATGATTTGGATGTTGAAATATTTTAAAAAGAATTGTACTTGTAAGGGTATGTAAATAAAAGTGGTTAGTAAAGTTCTTTGACATGACAAAACTGAGTCGTGTATTTTATTACTATGCTTTCTCATTTTACTTTTTCCTCAACTGCATATTTAACATCTTTTTGTTTTAATTTTGGCTTCCATTTGGATTCTGAAATGTAAGTTTTTAAAACGTATTATGGATAATTATGGATTAAAGCTTCAAATGATGTTCAAGTTAGACTTATTTTAATTAAAAGTAAGAAAATATAAAACACCACATGGCACAGAGAAATTTAGAGATTTGTTTTCTGCACTTTATAAGGAGTGGATCGTTAAGATGAAATTACTGGCATGGAGCAGTAGAAAACTAAAGTTTTAATTTCTTAAGACAAATTTTTATAAAACCTACTGTTGTTCTAGGTTTCAGATATATGCTTTTCATTTTAGTATAAACCAAAATGTTTGTGTTAGTGATATTTTGCTGTACTTTTCTGGGCCTCTGCCTTCTGTTTTTCCCACAGTTGTTGTGTTGCTAAGAGCTATGCTGTGCTTTGTAGATTCTCCCTGTGATTGACCAGGACTGGGAACGGTCCCAGCCTCCCAGTGTCCGAGCCAGCGTTGCCCACCTGGTAGAGAGCGACCCCGAGCTCTCTGACATTGATGATGATGACCACGAGACAATCTTCAGCTCAGCTGACCTGCTTTCACCAAGTGGGCACTCAGACGCCCAGACATTGGCATTGATGTTGCAGGAGCAGTTGGATGCCATCAATGAAGAGATCAGGTTAGCAAGTGGGAGATGGCTACTAGACTGCATGGATGACTACAAGGAGAAACGTTCTTCCATATCCATTGCAGTTTTTTTAGGACTGGGATTCTTACAAAAAAATAACAAACAAGACATTGGAGAGAGAGTCTTCATTAAATTAAAAATACTGATTCACAAATAGCTTTTATAATAATTAATAATAATTGCTTACACTTACAGTATATAGCGCTTTTCTGGACTCTCCACTCAGAGGGCTTTACAGATAATGAGGACTCCCCTCCATCCCACCACCAATGTGCAGCATCTGTAAAAAAATAAAGAAACGGCAGTGCCTTATGTTGCATACACACAAGCGCCTAAATTATTTTGTTCATAATTGCTTTGTTTTGTAGTAAGACTTGGTCTTTAGAGGGAAGATTGCAATGGATTATGTCATTCAAAATATCAGTTGTTTTGCTGTGGTAGAAATCTGACACGTACAGCTTCAACATTCATTCAACAATATTCTGTGGTTCTGTAGCTTTAGAAATTGTATAAATACACAGTACAATGTTCAATGTGCAACATTTATTTTGAAACAAAATCTGAAGGAAAATAGACTACAGTTATATACAGCCAGGAAATAAAATGGTGAAATAATTATTTTGAAGAAATTGTGTCTTACAGTAGAGGATGCTCCAGATTTACAGATTAATTGCACATTTTATACACAAGCACCATTGAAAACAATCTTGGTGATGGTGTCAAGAGACTTATCATATTGCCTTCTGCTGTACAGCATCAATGACAAATCCTCTTATTACACTTCATACAGCTCAGTATAGTAGGCAATGACCTTGGTCCTTAATGAAAATAGAGACTGGAAGTGTGGGTTTCTCTGCTCCCAAGACACATGCCCTGTAATTACAAGTCAAAATCTCTGTGTCCTAAAATTCGTAAAATTTTAAAATGCAAGTGATCATCTAACATGAACAGTTGAATATACAGTAGGAACAGATACCGGCCAGCAGTTCATAGTAATGATTTTCATATTCAGTACACATGAATAATTTCAACAGAAAACAAGTATTAACTGTTTTAGTGTTATCTGAATTTGTAACTATCCTTTCTTGGCCTTCCATTGGTGATGGATTAAAAAGACATACTGTCAATTCACCAAATACACCAATGTGAAGACAGTAATTATATAATAGGGAGTTTAATAACTGTCCAGAAAAAAAAGAACCCTGGCCTATTATCAGAGTCAGACCCTACACAGTAGTAGTAACCACTTAGACACCTTAACACCAAAATGAAAAAGATGTTAAGTTGTTAAAACTGCTGTCAAAAACAGTCACGTCTACCTGTACAGCTTCTACAACCTGCACTTTATTAGGTTGATATTCATATTATAAAGAAATTGTGATACGATGCTTGGAACAGCATACTGTGAAGACTAATAGATTGCTTGGTATTGTGTATTCTAATTTTTCGATCAAACACTCTAGGTTTGTTAATTGTTCTCTATTGGAGATGTCAGCTTTGACCCACATATTCCTAAGCATGTGTTTCTTAAGGCACGTTTGCATTTAAAGCATAAATGCCATGTTAGTCACAGTGCATATTGTAAGAAGATGAGACAATGTATATCGTAACAAGATTTTAAAACATTAAAATACCCACTGTCCCTCAAGGTTGTCAATCTACAGACTGGAGGATAATTCCCTGGATGGCAAAATATATAAGTGTGATGCGCTGTTATATGAAGAAATGTGAACTTAAATATCATTTACTTTTTGACAAGAATGAGAATGAAAATGTCAATCTTCATGCATTTTTGTTTCTTGTTAAAATGAGATATATTTTTTTTTAAATCAGTGAATTGTGGTTTACAAAATGTAATTTAATTTTGCATCAATGCCTTGTACGCTATTAAAATGTACAATTCACTGCCAAATTATTTCTTAAGAAAATAATAAGAAAATTATAGTTTATTTAAAAAATCTAGGCTGAAACTGTAAATTAAATCAATTTATTTAATCTGAAATCCACAATATTATGTAGCCTATGGGATTATTTATTCCCACTATATAGAAGTCTGTCTTAACTATAAAATACAGAATTTATTGTCCTTGTATCATTAGCCTTTCAGTGGTTTTCTTCTTCACTGAATAATCCAAATATATCAAAAGACAAACACGTTCTAAATGGTTTTGTATGCTTGTAATAAATTGATTGCTATGTCACATTACGTAATTTATGCCACTGATATTTATAGAACAAGAAATTAATATTTTTTCTTACATCTTCTTTGATTGAACATGGGTCTTTTACACTGATTAGGAGTTGACAAATGAAGACAAAACAACTAAGTAATAAAATAAGAAGACTGTTCTAGAAAAAAAATAGTATTATAAAATAATTATCCAATAAGATACTGTATGTATCCAATATGATTCAATTTCAGTCAGTTCTGATTCCGTTTTTTTTAATGAATCAGCATAGGCAGGTTCTGTAACTGATAATATGAAGTAAATCAAGACTGATCACCTTAGTCTTTCAGGAAAGCTGAACACAGAGACATTTTTGGGACATGAAGTTAAAATAGCCTTTGGAAGAGGCAAAAAAAAACAGCTATTGTGTCTGTATTCTCCGTGGGGGAATTTTAGTGTTAGAGGAACGAAATTAGTTTTTATGTTGTCATTTTAATTATTATGAAACAGTGGAACACAGTAGCTTTCATTAAATGCAGTTAATCGGACCGTGATAAGAACTCATGGAACAGGCATTAATTAAGCTCTAAATGCTGACATACATAGCAAAATTGCCCACTAGCTGTTCCATCTGATAAGGGCACAGTGCATTTAACAATATACAGTATTTAACCATTTTCTTCCCTGTATGCAATCCAAACATGCTTTGTACATATCTTGTCTGCATGTGTTTAATGCATGCACAACGTTGGCCAGAGTACTGTAATTATCTTCATTTTCATCATATATCAAACAAAAAACAAAAAGCGACTGCCGTATGATTGCAGCATTGAGACTACACACCTTCTATACACATGAGACTATACACATTCTTTATAAATACACATATATAGATCTAAGAAAAAAATACATGAATCAATTAATTTGAGCAGCTGTTTTCACATTGTAAACATGGAAGCAAGCCCTCACACTGATTACCTTTTAGAAATTATTGCCCTTGCTAACCAATTATTCTTTTGAGTCCTTCTAGCTTCCATTTTTTAAATTAAACACTCACTGTGCTCTTGTATGGTATGTGGTATGCAAGAGATTTCAAGTAGAAGACTTCACTTCAGAAACTGATCCCACAGTTCCCTCTATGATAGGAGGTACCTTGTTCAGAATTGCTTTGGTGTCTTTATGAAGACAAAGCAAATATGTGTTTCATGCAGACTGGAAACTCTTCTTTGTTAGAAGCTTTTTTTCTATATTGTGTTTAGATACTTTCTCTTTTTCTCGCTCACTGTCCACAAACACAGTAGACAGATTAAAAAAAGTCCAATATGTTTCAATCTATTTGAATACTTTGCCCTTGATTTCTGTTGTTAAGAAAAAGACTTGTACAGGAATCACACGTTCTTTAAAGTTTTTCACAGCGGTTTCAAATACAAGGTGAGTGTTGGTAAATAACTCCGGCAGTGGACAGTACAGACCCTTTGCACGTGAGCAAACTTACAATATTAGTATAAGATTGTGTCAAAGAAGTTCAAGTAGACAGCTGCATCAACAGCGAAGGAAAAGACAAATACTTATTCCATGCTGAAAGGAAAAGAGACACAATGTTTTGGCTATGAAGCCTTCTGGTGTCAAGGAACCTTTAGAAGTCTTCACACTTGAAGAAGGCTCCACAGTTGAAATGGTGTGTTTCTTTTCTTTTCCTTTCATCAACGTTTACTTGTTTACTGTGTCAGCCAAGGAAGGTGGTGTCAGTCGTTAAGGGCCATTCATCAACAGGATTGCCTGGTACTAACTATGTCCTCGGAAATTACAACCGTTAATATCCTGGGTGTGAGCAGCAGATTGTAATACTCATTTTCTGGCTGTCTTGCTGTTCTCAGCTAGACTTCCATTTGATTAATTTGTCAAAAATGCCATTTTACTATAGGTTTATATTTAGTACTGTTCAACAGCCAGTGGCAGATATTAGTACAGCAGCTGTGCTGCACAGTGTGGTAGTGAGGGCTCAGACGTGCTGTGTGTGCTGCTGTTGGCAGGATGATCCAGGAGGAGAAAGAGTCCGCCGAACTGCGAGCGGAGGAGATTGAGAGCAGGGTGACCAGCAGCAGCATGGACGGGCTCAACATGCCCCCCCTGCGCCCACGGTCCTCCATTCCCACCTCCGTCACTGCTCTGTCCCTTGCCAGCTCCTCGCCCCCTGTCAGCGGGCGATCCACCCCCAAACTGTCCTCCCGCACTGCTGCCCATGAGCTGGGCATCATGACACTGGTAAGACCAACATTTCAATACAACCCCCACCAGCAGAGTGGAACCCCTGATGTGCCCTGCCGAATTGCTTAAAAAATATGGGAAATATTCATTTTTCTCACTTTTATATCTATAAGTTGGAGTGGTATTGTAGTGCTGTGGTGAGCATCCTGTGTTGGGGCACTGGGCTCAATTTCTGAGGTGCTACAGTATCTGTGTGAAATTTGTACTGTATGTTCTCCCCATGTTTGCTTGGGTTTCCTTCCGGCACTCCATTTTTCTCCCACAGGCCAAAGATATATGGTACTGGCAGGTTAAATGGCTCCTGGGAGAACTGACCCTGGTGTGAGCCTGAGTGTCAATGTCAATGTCTATGTCTGTGTGTACCTGTGATAAGTTGGAATCCAGGGTATGTCCCTGGCCCGTTGCTTGCTGGCATAGGTTCCGGCTCCCCCATGACTTTAATGGGATAAAGCAGTTAGAATTTGGATGGATGGATATTTATAAATCATTTTTGTACTCCAGGAATAAAATGACATTTTGTCATATCAGAGAATGTATGCTACAATGTTAAAGTACCAATAGATATGTTGTAATTAAAACAGGTTTAGCTAAGGACAATGTGACTGTCCATGAAGCCTTAAGTAAACATCAGCCAGATGTTTAATTTTGTCTGTGCCTATCTCTGCTTTTTTTCTTAAATGCTATCAGCCTAGCGATTTACGGAAACATCGCAGAAAAGTGCTCGTAAGTGCTACTGATTTTTTTTACTTTAAAATATGAAGATGTAAATATACTGGTACATGAAAATCTGCTACTCATGGCAAAATCACTGATATCTAATTTGGTACAACCTCATTACACTGAAAACTCTAAAAAGGGTGCTTTCGCTGAAAACACTTTGAGTTTTACAGGTTCTCAGCACGCCAGGGGAGAAGTTTTACTGTAGTGCACTTACTGAAGGCAGTTCAATAACAGAACCTCTTACAATACCTCTAGTGTGTAATCGTATTTGACCCAGTTGTAGACAAGGTGGAATATGGTAATGTTGTCTTTGCTGCAGGAGATGGGCCTCCTGCACAATTACTTTGTGTCATGTTGTCTTGTTATTAAGGCAATATCTGAGGATCTCAAAGGTGCTGCTTTGCCCATAGTTCAGGTTTAAAATGAGGTGCTTTACTCTCAGTCTCCAGTTTCGAGGGATGAGTCCCGGGAAGACAAGACCACCATCAAGTGTGAGACTTCACCACCCTCCTCTCCACGCAGTCTGAGGCTGGAGCACATCGGACACGCCCTGCTGTCTGGCAGTGTGGAGGATGGCAGAGGGTAAATGGGTGTATCTGCTCCTGCAGATCTGTCGGCATCATTTGCATTTCATTTCCATATTCACTTCCAAACACAACAGGCAAACACAGCTGCACATGTTGTCACTGCAATTGCAGTCTCTATTAGCTTGTAAGCTTCATTCAGTAAGAGTTTTTTTCTCTCGTTACATTATTCATTATTATTACAGTTAACTTATTGAAGTGTGAGCCATTCAAAAGCAGTCATATTTTTCTGTACAATGACACTTGCCACTCCTTGAATTCCATATTGAGAAAAAAACAAATCAAGACTTTTATTTAAATGATGAAGTTTCTCCTCTATTTTCTCAACAGTGAAGTACAATACAGAACAATCAACTGATCAATAAACTGCGGAGTATAAAATTGAAAAACATCAAGTGTAGTCAAACACTATGCTATTATCATTTACCAGAATAAATTGTAGCAACATATACTGTAATATGTGAATAGAGCATTTTTCACAATTGGTAGATCATTTTGAATACTTTTCATCAGGGCTGTCTAATTCCAGACAGGTGCATCTGCAGGTTTTCACTTTAATGTTAGCTCCTTTCATGTATTTAATGGTATTTTTTATTCATATGTTTTGTTTAAGGTAACTTTCTCGTTTTTTAACTGTAGCTCCTAGGCACAAGCATCTAAAAGCTATATGAGTTTGTTTTCATTCTCATGTTCAAAAGAATTTTAAAGACATTTAAATCTTCTAAAGTATCTATTAACAAGCTAAACATGTTGTTACTGTCTTAACTGGACCAATTTAACAGCTTCTCCCAGCTCTTCAGTTTGTGCTTTAAAAAGAACATTGTAGACATGTTACTTGCCCAGAAGAATCAGAACTGGACAAAACTAACTTATGCCACTAAAATTAAAATCAATCTGACACATACTGTATGTAATTCAGTATAATAACAAAACAAAAGTTTTGTTTTTGAATCATGTTATTGAACGGGTAAATAACACCTTACAAAATGTGATGTATATATTTTGGTAATTTGTGCAAAATATTGCCTTCTGCTCCTGATTAGCTAAAAGTATAAAAGTATGAAGATGCCAGTAAGGCTGAAGTAATGTTGCTATATAAAAACTACATTTTTCTGTTTTCACCTACTGTATACAGTACATGATATACATGGGATTTTAAAGCATCTTTTTCCAAAGGGAGACAATTTTCTAGAAAATGCTTTGAAGATTGTTTTCTAAAGTGCAGGATGTTGCCTGCATCTCTGAAATATAAAAACTGATGCACATGCGTAAACCGAGGCTGTTGCCTCAGAGCGCAGCACTGTGACAGTATGAAGGGATACATGGTGAGTGCGTGGGCTGTGTTTCAGGCCGGAGGAGCAGACGAGCAGCAGTAACAGCAGCCAGGACTCTCTGCACAGGGGAAATAAGAAGAAAGGAATCAAGTCCTCCATCGGGCGCCTCTTCGGCAAGAAGGAAAAGGGCCGGTTCATGCAGATGGGCAAAGAGGCAACTGCAATGCATGGTACAGCCGTCAATCATCTTTTGGAATTGTTTGCTTTTTGAATAACCTTTTCTAACCTTATAACCTAAGCCTGAACTTTGTCAACACTTTATGTTAAACTTTTGGGGGGGTTCAATTAGAATTTGATTGTGCTCAGCGGTGGAGCAGTGGTTAGCATTGCCCCAGGGGTTGGTTCCAGACCTGGGGTGCTATCTGTGTGGAGTTGTATGTTCTCCCTGTGTTTGTGTGGATTTCCTCCTGCAGTCTAAAGACATACTGGTAGGTCAATTGAATTCTGGGAAAATCGGCCCAAGGTGTGAATGTGTGCATGCCTGTGTATGTGTATTTGTCTGCCTTGGGGTAGACTGGCCTCCCATCCAGGGTGTATCCCACCTTGCACCCATTGCTTGCTGGGATAGGCTTTGGGTCTTCCGTGATCCTGAAAAAGTGTTTAGAAAATGGATGGATGGACATTTGTTTTGCAAGATTCCCTGCTTCATATTATTGTTAGATTTCTGTATTTTGCCAAGCTAAATCACATGACAGTCCCAGCCTGGAAAATATTATATTGAAGGTCATTATAGCTAGCAGGTATCTGTCATGCAAATGTTTAAGGTTTTTTTACACATTTCAGTATGGCTAGGCTTGGTACTTTTTGACATTTATATTTTTGATGTACTGTACACAAATCTGTAGCAAAACACTCACCTTTAAAAGTTTATTGGATGGTTAAGCCAGCTTTGATGTTTTATCATGTATTTTTAGAGGCATTTTGATGGTTTCTCAATCTGAGGCAGGGGAGCCCCTGCATTTAAAATGAGAAATCTCAATTAATTAGCTGTTTATTTTGAGTAAGTGTACATGCGTCATAGCATGTTATTAGTTTTAAAAGTGAAGAATGCATTTTAAATGCCTATGAGCTCATGTTTTGAATAAACAATTTAAAACAAGTTAATACAAGTCCTTCAGGTTTTAAAGAACACTGTTTATAACAGTAGCAAATGCATACTACAAATACATATTTTGAAAAACTAGGAAGTTTGTATTGTCACAATTTGCAAGACTAAATGTGACAATAGAAAGTTGAAATTCACATACAGTAGTAAAAATATAGTGTACTGGATCACTTTTCCCCAGTTATGACACAATAATGATGATTTTTTCACTGTTTTTTTTTTACCTGCAATAGCCAGGTCTGCTGTTGCCTTTAGTGATACACTAGAAGCTTGTGTGCCAACAACAAGCCTCTTGTGACCCTTCTTCCAGTAGCTAAGAAAATTGGAGAAAAGATCTGGTTTGCTACAGTACTACTTTATAATCCTCAGGAATCATGGTATATTGTAGAACATGTTAGACCATTCCCATCACTTTGGACAATATGAGTCATTCGTACGGAGCATGCTGTTCAAGGATATTTTGTGAAGGAAGGGCAATACACTTCCATACAACAGCAAGCACAAAACATGAAAATCCCCAAACAGTCACTGAGCTAGGGGTGAAGCTGTGCTTGGGTACTTATTTTTAGCACCGTAGGGCACTGTATCAAATGAGTGAGAAATGAATGTGTTGAAAAGTAACAAATTCTGCCATTGAATTGCTGGAGTAGATTTTTGGTATTGCGAATGAACATGGACTGTGTTTCAGATTTTGAAATGGGCATCCACGATACTCTGGGGCTGGGTAAACTGGGAACTCAGGCAGAGCGGGATCGCAGGATGAAGAAGAAGTATGTTCCTTTTATGTTTATTTCCTTTAAAATCTCAACAATCTGTTTAATACTTGGCCACACCTTCCTCTCTATTGTTTTTCTTTTTAGTTCACATTTCACCTTACCACCTCTCATCTGTGAAGAGACATGCTGAATTGATGTGTCCAGTGGCTTTGATATTTAGACCTCATACTTTAATACTAATTTGTATTTATATTTTCTATCTAAAACTCATTTTTCATTTATTTCACACTAATAATATGTCTTGGCACAAGCTTCTAACATCTAACCAAAGTTTGTTTTGACTATTATGTTCAAACCAGTTTTAAAGACATTTATGTAATAAAGATATTTATTAAAGACATCTGTACCAGTCTAATACCCACACAGGTATAAAGCCTGCATATTTCTTTGTGAAATCCTCTCTTTTTATAAAAAAAAAATCCAAATTGTCTTCTTCTTATTTTTAAAACAATGGAACTGACTTTTTATGCAGCAATTATAACAGGCTTTCAAGATGCATGCAATTACATAGCAGTAAGCTAGAGATTCAGATATGAAGCTTATGGTAACTCCTTAAATAAAGGATAATTTCAATTAAAAAGTTGACTGGGCACTGTTTATATTTATTTTGAACTATATATACATATCCAGTCTTTGTAAAATTAAGGAATGCATTTGTTTTACATTATAATTTGGTCAAAGTAAAGGTTCATGCAGTTGCCCTAATGTCTGGTGTCCTAAGTGTTTGGAAACTGTACACATGAATTCATTCCTGTACCTCTTGCACATGATAAGTAATGTTTTTTGTTTGCCAAATACTGGTCTGCATACATGAATACAAGAAGAGACTGATCTCTTTTTTGTGATGTAGGGCTTGTAAATCTGCTTTACAAGGTTTGCATTTGTTTCTGCTGTCCAATACAGGTTGAAAACTGTTGTTTTGGGGTTTTTTTCATTGCTGATCCACTTTTGTGTCCTTTTGTTAATGTCTACATAAAACTCTCAGCCTGTGCTCGTGTACTTTGCTTTGAAATGTTTTCAACCTGATTATTAAAAAAGTGTCTGCTTTTTTCTCACTCTTTCATCTCATGATTAACAGAAAGAGGTAAGTGTAGCCATCATCTTGTTATTTTTTGTTTGGATTCATTATTAGGTTTTCTATATTGTTTTTAATTTCGCTCATGTTGGTCTTTTCATTTCAGTTCCAGACTGTTTGTGATTTTCGTTTTCGTCTTCTGGCTGCTGAGACTGTCTTGAGCCAGCTGTTTGTATAATTGCCTTTGAACGCAGAAGCTCAGCTTCCCACTGTGCTGTAATAATAAGACCTGACTTAATTAATATATATATGTCAAAATATGCAAATTTTCTTTCAATCACATCTATTTCATGTGGCCTTTTTCCTGCATGTTTCTATGCTCTGTGTCCTTCTGAAGCACAATCATAGGGAATCCTAGGGATTCAAAACAGGCAAACAAAAAACCTGCCACATACTGTAAGGTCCCTTCTCCGTACCTTAACTTTATTTTACATTACTTAAATTAATATTCACTCATTGTTTTTTTAATTACTTCCTTCATTAACAGCTGTTCAATTTTTCAAAAAAATGTATCAAATTTAGAATTGTCTGATTTTTTTTTTCTTTACCTACCCTATTTGGGACTTTCCAATTGTGTGTTTTGTACTGCACTTCTCAGAACATAGCTACAGTACTCACAATGCCGCACAGGGGAGAGTGAGGAACTGCAGGCAGAATCGTTCCCCTCTCCCACCTTTGTGCCACTCGCAATTTAACATGTCAAAGACAGCGCAGCCTTGTGCTGGAGCTCTCGAAGGAGAGGTGCGTTATTCACCCAAAGTACAGTGAGGCTCCAAGCTCCTGGGAGGCTGCAGGGGTCTCTGTGTTTGCCAAGAGAGTCTGGCAGACTATTTCTATCCGACACACAACTGGTCACTGTTCTGCTCCTTGAGGAATCCCAGCCTCAGTGGGCTAGTGACATGGCCCAGGCTCCAACCCAAGATGTCTAGATCCTAAGATAACTTGCATTCATACAAGTAGCATACTGTATCAATATCTGTTTATGATATTTTTTCAGCATCTCTATGTACTGTTCTGTATATAATGTAAAGGATTATATAGACGTATATTTTTACAAACTTTTGCATACACATACATTAGAATTCTACTGTACAGTACTATAAAAACCGTGGCTTTATTTGATTTATTTCAGTGTTTTATTTAATTGTCCTCCCCCCTTTGATTCAATTTGTTGTCTGTCTATAGCCCTTATAGAGCTGCACTACAACCTACGTGGGTGAAAGTCTAGTACAGCATTGCTCTAGCCTAGAATCCAATGGAGAGATGTGGAAGCAGAAAGCAAGAGAAATAATGCTCTGTTAAGATATGGAAATTTTAGGACTGCAAGTACTGATCAGGGATTAGCAAAACTGTGTGCTGTCTCCTTGTAATGAAATAATCACATTTAATTGAACAGAACAATTCTGGTTCCCCAAGTAAAATAACATTTTACTTTGCTACCGTTTTTTAGATCTGTTTAATACTTAAAAGGGAGAAATCCCCAATTCCTTGGCTAGCTTGAAGAAAGGCAATTACTGTAGCTAAAAAAGTAGCATTTCTTCTAATGGCCAGAAAAAAAGATTAAAAATAAACTATTCTATGAGTGTTTTCTTTTTTTATGCTTAATGTCCAAAGTCACCATCATACTCATACTGTATACTCATTTCTGCTGCTGCTCAACTAGAGACATGAAATTAAATGCTAATTTATTTGTAGGCACTGAAATGGAAGATCTGGCCATATACTGTATGATTAGCGTTTTTTTGTTCATTCACCCCCCTCTTTCTAGACACGAGCTGCTAGAAGAAGCGAGGAGGAAGGGCCTTCCATTCGCCCAGTGGGATGGCCCCACAGTTGTTTCCTGGCTTGAGGTAGGAAGAGCGCATCTGTGTGGGTTTTCCTCTGTACCTTTTATTTTCCACTATAAGATACGGGGCACGTTACTTGACACTGCAGGACAAACATTACACAGTTTCAGTATGTGTGTAGTGGCTTCTTTAATGTTTTGTTATGATACAAAAACATGTGCAGCACAGAGCACAGTGGTTAGCGTTGCTGCCATTTAGCTAGGGGACCTGGGTTCAATTCATTGGGTAGTAATCGCAAGGAGTTTATACATATGTTCTGTTTACCCCCCACAGTCCAACGACACACCGGTAGGTTAATTGGCTTCTGGGAAAATTGGCCCAGGTGTGATTGTTAGGGTTAGGGTTTGTGTCTGTGTGTGCCCTGTGGTGGACTGGCGTCCTGTCCAGTGTGCATCTCACCTTACTTTCCTCTGCAACCCTGTATTGGATAGTGGTTAGAAATGGGATGAATGACACAAAAGCAATTTGGATCATTGAGATTCTAAAAACACATTGTATACTGTTTTAAAAGTATTAATTCTTTATGTGGCTTTCATAATTATGAACTCAACACCTGTTGAAGCCACTGGATGGCTTAACATCTATATTTTTTTTCTCCTTCAGTCAAATGTCTTTTCTTATTTACAATAATAACATTATTCCCTATGAACTTTCAACTCCACAGTTGTCATTAAACGTGTCTCCTACATTATACAAATTTTATACATATACTCCACACTTCCTCATTTTTTAGAGTGTCACAATCCATTGTACTTGTCAAATAAATAATACAGCGAGCTAAAATGCTTAATGCTTTAGAAAAGAGCTAAAGAACTTAACTGATATTTTTTAAGGAGTGAATAGCTTATTTTCATAAAGAAAACAAGAAAGCGAAAGCAGAAGAACATTTCCTCAACTGTGCCTACAGCTTGTACTTGAAGAGTATCAATTAGGGCCTGTGTCTCAGTATCAATTAAAGCCTCTTCTCTGGCACAATGTTCCCAGTTGTGGGTGGGCATGCCAGCTTGGTATGTAGCTGCCTGCCGTGCCAACGTGAAGAGTGGTGCCATCATGTCCGCCCTGTCTGACACGGAGATCCAGAGGGAGATTGGCATCAGCAACCCCCTGCATCGCCTGAAGCTGCGCCTTGCGATTCAGGAGATGGTTTCTCTCACCAGCCCCTCTGCTCCGCTGACCTCTCGCACTGTGAGTATGCCGACACACCCCCGCCAACCACATCCCTGCGAATTCTCACGCCCGTGACTACAACGTTCCTTCTCTTTGCTCTGTGTCCAGTCATCCGGGAATGTGTGGGTGACGCACGAGGAGATGGAGAACATGGCGGCCTCCACCAAAGCGGTCAGTGTGCTGCGTGTGATGCCCACCTCCGCTCGCAGCGAGATGCATATGCTGCATGTTTGAGGTGGAGATTTTCTTCCCATGGGCTAGCGCCTGTGCTGTAAAGTACAGTATAAAGTATTGGGACACGCTTCAGTAACATACAGTGCTGCGTCATTCACATTGAATAGCGTTAAATAGGAACAAACCCCTTTAAACTTTATATGTAGTCGTTGTTCACCGATACAGTTTTGAAAGAGAAATAGGTTAATCATTGACAGGTAATTTCACAAGAGATCAGGAATATAATAATGCATTTAACTATATAGAACAGTAGTTTTTCATATTGACATGGCTGTCCTGGTTTGAGAAAAAACCCAAACTGATAAGAATGCAGCATTTTAGATAGATTGTTAGTTTTGTACTGTATGTTTCAGGTTTATTATTCTTTGAAAAATCTAACACTTTAATGTATGGTTTGAGTGCATACAATGAAATGGATACTGTATTTTACACTACTACACTACTACATGAGTCGCGTCTTGGCAAATGCTGCAGTGTGAGTGTAATGATCTCCCCTCTTACTGCACTACAATGGGTGATGCTTTTAAGATTCTCAACTAACCTTTAGTTCTTTCTCCCTGTACTAACACGCTGTCACAACAAACTGATAGGAGAGTGAAGGGGGAAGCTGGGCTCAGGTGAGAACTCTCATGTTAGTGTCCTTTGAACTCTTAAGACCATTGCCATTGCCAGTGGAAGTGTTTTACAATGAACAGGTGCTGTGTTTATTTTTGCTCACGTCACCTCAGTGCTTTCATTGCTCCAGCTTAATTCATTTGAGAAAGGACTTAACAGTACAGTACTGAAGTGTAAAGCATGCATATGGTGGCTCCACTATATTGGTGTGCAGTGTGAGTACAAATGCACAGTATTATCACAATGTAAAAATGTGATTTTAGTGGTTTAGAATGACATAGTGCATCATTACAGTGGCAAGGAACTGTAAAGTACACCTAATGTAACATTTGTTGAGCTACGCAAATGCTTTTAGTGTATTTTTTATTCTGTTTCTTCTGTTATACTTTCCCTCAGTGGTTCCTACTCTAGATGTTTTTCCCTTCTTTGCTAAAGATTCATTACTGTCAATCAGCATTAGGGTAAGCAAAGATCGGTCTGCACTCCTCTTCTCAAGCTGTCTTAACATGAGAGGTATCCAATGCGTGTCTGCTAATCCTCCTGGCAGACGCTGGCATACGGGGACATGAACCATGAGTGGATTGGGAACGAGTGGCTCCCGAGCCTGGGTCTGCCGCAGTACCGCAGCTACTTCATGGAGTGCTTGGTCGATGCCCGGATGCTGGATCACCTGACCAAGAAAGACCTACGCACACACCTCAAGATGGTGGACAGCTTTCATCGGTGAGCTTTCATCTTTCTCCCGTGACACACCTGAAGTGTATACAGAGACACTGCCACACTAAAGCTCTAGATTTTTGTTCTAATTATTAGATTTTTATTTTAAAACTTATCTAAATACATCATATGGATATTAATATAGATTTACATACAGGTGAGATGTGAAGAGGAGAGTTTGCAGGTCATTAACCTAAACTCTGGTTATAAACCAATGTCTCTAAAATCCACTGTTCCGAAAATCAAACTCTTTATACCTGAGACAAAACATTCTTTTTTTTTTGGAAGGCCTTCATGTGATTGAATGTTTCTTTTACCATAACAAAGGGCAAGTTTACAGTATGGGATCATGTGCTTGAAGCGTCTGAATTATGACAGAAAAGAGCTGGAGAGACGAAGAGAAGAGTGCCAACATGAAATTAAAGGTAAGGTCTTCATGGTTTTATAGTTATATATAATGTTTATAATGTTTCTTTATTAGCCCTATACAATTTCTTGCATTAGGAATTCGTCTTTTCGCATACCCCAGCTTTTTCTCCATGGAGACACAGACACACAGATAGGGAGAGAAGCTTGGGGTCAGAGCGCAGGGTCTGCCATTGTACGGGGCCCCTGGAGCAGTAGGGGTTAAGGGCCTCGCTCAGGGGCCTGCATGTGAGTTAATGACATCGTGATGTACCCCATTGATTCCTTTCATCAGATGCAGGGCTGGTTCAAAATAATTTACTAATTTTGAAAGTTTGAGATCTTATCCTTCAATTGTTTTATATCTTTCTCAACTTTGAGATTCTTTTAATAATACTGTTGTCTGCACAGAATCAAGATATTTTGGGAAAGGTTTTGGATCTGTTCCCCTAATGTCTAAATGTTAATGCATTCTTACTGAACATTGATATTGATGCATTTTAAATCTAATATATATATATTAAATGCTCAAAGTGTGAAAATTACAGCTTTGTTTTCTTAGCTGAAAGAGTATGCTTAAGTTTGTTTTCAATTGGAAAATATTATTGTTTTGTGGCTTTTAGTAAGCTTTAGGTTCTATAATTATCCCCTAAAATTAGTAAACAATATATTTAACAAATACAACTAAACAGTGGCACCTAGTGTTCATTAGTGGATTACCCCAAAGTATTGTATTACTTCACAGCTCTGCTGGTTAAATCAGGCCAACAGCTGAGATTTCACAGCAGACACACAGAACAGTAAACCATTAAACCACCAGCATAGCACAAGTTCACAGCAATGTGAACTTGACCCAGCTGTCTCGACCTGCTGGCTCATGTGTACCAAACAGACAACTTCACTTTGACCTTCCCTAGGGTAAAATAAGACCCTGCCTTACGGCCAACAAACTTCAAATCTATAAAATTACTTTTCATAATAAAATAACACTCAGTAAAACATGTGATTTTCCTTATGTTCCTTATATGATAACAATTAAAAAACTCCTATTGCTTTTTGCTTACTCCTATTACTTATTGTTGCATTATTTGAAAGTATCTGTTAAAGATAAGCTTCAAGGCAGTAATTCCCATTGTTGAAAAACAGTTTAACATCAGAATTAATTAGGGACATGGGTTGATAGCTACAACATACAGTAGTAAGGGGTTCTTTTCTTTTTTTAGGAGCAATGAAATAACAACAGTATGGATGTCTCTATTAATGGCCCTCTCCATAGTTGTCTGGAGTGTCTTGAACAGCATAGGTTCCATTTAATCCCAATTAGTGAGAAAGGCATTGGGGGGAATACTGTGTCTAAGAAGTGTGTCTTTGTCATATTCTGTAAAGCTTTTTTTTTACTTAAAAAATTACAGATCCAACAGTGGCTGTCTTTGGTAAGTGAAGCAAGAAATGTCCACTTATTTAAATCAAAATTAAATATAAGAACTGTAGTACTTTGCTTAAAAATACATACTGATGGAAAAAAGAAACACAACACCTCATCCTCCTCCACACTCTGGCCCTCCTGTCAGTGTGGAGCAGGGTGAAGAGTAACTCATCCGTGAAGAGGACCTGATGCCACTGCTGACTAGTCCATCGCAGCCTCTGTCTGGCCCAGGCCAGTAGGGTGTGACGTCTAGGAGGTGTGAGCAGAGGGCCTCTGACAGGTCGCCTTGCTCTAAGGCCAGCAGCATGGAGCCTCACTGTCCTGTCACTGATGCAGGCATTGTGTCTGCCAACAGTTTCACAAGCAGTATGGGTGGCAGATCTGAAACGATCTCTCAGATGGACCTGATGTGCCTGCCTGCAACATGCTAAAGGCCCTCTCCCTTGCTTCCAATGACATTAAAGGCATTAAGGAATGCACGGAAAACTGACTAAGTAAGGCCTTTTTCTTTCAGTGACCTAAGCTTAAGCATTAAGTCCTTAAGCCTTGAATTAAGGCCTTTTTAAAGGTGACCTGATCAGGCATTATTCCACCAGGTCCTTGTTGGGTAAAAGTACACCTAACGAGTTTTCGTGTGATTGGCAAGTTGCAATGCCTCACTGAACAAGCTGTATTGTTGTTCAGAGGGCTTAAAACAAATTGACAACCTTTTGTGAAAGTATACAGTATAAGCTATAACTGTAGTATTCTCATTCTAGAAAATGTTGTGCTTTTTTTTCCATCAGTATATATTCCCTCTTGTGTTATTAATGATTGCAGTTTTCGCAAAACATTAATTTACTACATACTTTAAAAACTAACAGATCACAGGGTCCACTGCCTTGGAATTAATAATTCTGTCTGTTTTGAGAGAAGACACTGGAAGTTGCCTCAATAAAAAATAAGGTCTTTCCTAGTAGTTTACAATTCAAATGCAGACATTTCAGAAGCACTTGCAAAGGGAGGACTGGTTTAGACTGTATTTTGCAAAATAATTTTGCTCAAATCTGACTTATTAAGATTGGAGGCAAAAACTGGGCCAGTAAAAGCCCTTTGTTGCATTCTGAATTAAAAAGCTAAAATGATTGATTCCATAGTAGCCTATTAGCCACACTGAGAAAAAAAAGGTAATATTTCATTACGAGATACTGCTGCTAAAAAATCAGCACCAACCACGACTCTCTGCATAAATGCATTACTCTGTTGACTACAGCAACAGCTTGTGTGCTCTCCTGGAATTGTTTCTGTTTTGCATTCCCATGTTTTGTTACATTCATGTGTGTTCTGTGCAATTTAACACAAAAATACCGTCTTTTTGCTCCCTTAACATGACATATTTCTTGCCGTTTGCTTTGTAAATCCAACTTCAAATGTATTTAATGTATGCATAGGCTGAAAGCTTTTGAGATTTTTATGCTTAAATATCTAACGATTCGCCAACAGTAAAGCAACAGCAGGTATAATTTGTACTGTTATATCATCGTAAATGATTAGGCAACAACCTACCTGCATGTTTCTGTAGTTTCACATCGAGAATAAAATATGTTTGTAAAGTTATGTCTTTTCTACGTTTCAAAAAAAATGTGAAAATGACATGACCATCGTGAGCAAGTCTTTCAGCTCAACAGACATGACAGAACCTCCTAAGTGTCCTGAACAAGAGCCATTTTTTAGAGATAGGTCGAAGCATAGACTGTCTGATATTCTAACTAAAGGGTCATACAGACATAATAGAAATTGACTTCCTATTTCACTTTCAAAAGCGAACTTTTCTTCTCCCTGAGTTTCAAAGAATAAGTCAAGTAGCAATCAATTTGTTCTCACTGGGCTCTAGCCTCTGCAAAAGCTTAACATGTGACAGCATATAAATGTTATCAGCTTCTCAACTTTTTTATTATTTTTTGTGGTCAATAGAATATCATGGATACCGACAAATCTAAATAACCAAACAACATATTTAATAATTTTACAAAAGATGGTAGAGTTATATGATATATACTACTTAAATAAGGCAAATTTAATTCAGTTATATCACTGTCATGCAGTTTATTAAATACAATACTCTTGATATGCACCTGATTAAATGTATGACCTTGTCTTCTTAGTGATTTCATTGTACAAGAGGTCATAGAGGTCTTTGTTCATCACCTCATCAATATGTTTTACATTGTCCATACTTGAAATGCTATTTGAATAAAAATTGTCACTGAAAGCAAACTGGATATAAGGCGTGGTTTTAAACCTCATTGTTTACTTGGCCTCTGACCTCATCAACTGGTACAGCATTTCAGCTACAGGTTGTTCATTACTGACCACTCAGGAAAAATAGTTGGATTTGGGCTTGTTTTTGGGGTGGCATAATAGGAAAGAAGTAGCTGCTTTATATCCCATAGCATATGTATGTCGTTGTTTATTTTATAACATTATAATATTTTAATTTGGTATTTTTTGTCATGAAGAATACAGATAGAATAGAGCATAAAAAACAGAACAGCACACACAGTCTCTCACTTTGCTGCACTGCCCATGTGTTGCACATGCAGTATTGAATACAATTGGCATGGCAGTTGGGCATCATATGCCTGTAACAAAACCTTCAAAAATGTTTCTAGCATAGATTAGCCTTTGGTGTGTGAGGCAAAGCCTTGCCAGTATTTTAGCAATGCCATGTGAAGTGGACCCAGAGCTCTGGACAGGCATTCAAGCCTTGGATGGTGACATTCTGGAGCTGCCATCGTTCACTGAAGAATACAATGCATGTACTATACAGTATGCTATTAATATAATATTGTTGTTATTTACCATTTCTTTCTGTTTTTGGTGTCTAGATACCTTGGTGTGGACTAATGACCAGGTGATTCACTGGGTGCAGTCTGTAGGACTCAAGGAATACAGCAACAACCTGCTGGAGAGTGGGGTTCATGGCGCTCTGATTGCACTGGATGAGAACTTTGACTACAGTAGCCTGGCACTTATCTTACAGATCCCAATGCAGAACACACAGGTACCTGCAGTGGACAGAAGACATCAGTATTCTGTAGCTTTCAAGTGCTTTTTCCTATGAGAGAAAAGCAACATTAGATACCTTAAGTTCCTAAGCATCCTCACATAACGTTGACCTTACATCTGTAGAACTGCTAAATCCAGCTGCTACTGTATGTGAAAGATTGCTCAAATTCTCCACTAGCCATAACTGTGCCATTTTATAAAGTCTGGATTTTTTCATTAGTCAGCTTTGATTGACTTGGTCATCTCCCCAGTCAGTGGTGCACAATTGGCTGAGCATCCTGAGATTGTGTGTTCTTGAAATGAGCACGTTCTTTTAGATTGCCATGCTGATTCAGCTGGATTCAGCTGGACATGTGTGAGTCTGCAATGTTGTTCATAAGAGATGCTTTACTCTTCCATCTGGCAATAAGTAAGGCATAGTGGAGCTTGCTGTTTGACAAATGACAAATAATTCTCATATGTCAAGATGTCAGAGGTTGTGCACAGGTCCTTATTCCAACCATGCTATACAGGAGCTATGGTAGTAAAAGAAGATTTGATTTACAATTCAAACTAGATGTGCAGAAAATACATTTTTATTAATATTTAGGTGTGATGTACCTGTAAACCAATGTTGTGCACTATGAGAACTTGAAATCCTGCTGAAAATAAAAATGCTGCCTGAAACTTTAGGAGCCATAATGACAAATGTGTTCATTGAGAGTTAATGTCACAAGGGTGTTTGTGTTTCTTTTTACAGGCTAGACAGGTTCTAGAGCGAGAATTCAACAATTTGCTTGCGCTGGGTACAGATCGGAAACTGGATGAGGTGAGGAGGGGGAGAAATGGTTCTGTGTGCTTTCTTCTCTCCTTTCGAAATATTGATGCATTTTCAGTATTCTTCATGGCAATGGTCTGTTTCAAACATGACGTCTATATCATTAGTAGACAAATGCAACAATCTTAGCAATGGTATTGCACACTTTGGGCACTAGAAGAAACTGCTTCATAATTTCACTTGAAACTTAAGTTTTTACAAAACAAAACAGTGCTAAAAAAGTACAACAAAATACCAGTCTTGTTCTATGGCACCATCCAGTTTTCGTAATCTTCTCACCTGTTTTCTTTGTCAATGCTACTGAAGATGTTTGCAAGTGCTAGTCCTGGAGCACATCCATATGTTTTGGTCTTTCTTTCTGCACATTTCTGAGGAGGAACAATAAGTAATTGTACTTATATACTATTCTGTTCCTGCACTCTTTAGTTATGTGTGTTAGTCAGTTAAGTGTGATATCACAAAGACATTTCAAACAGAGCTCCATTCATTCTGTCTTCAACTTGCTGATTAAGTGGTTGCTGAGTTCTGTCTAACCTGCTCTTAATATGTGACCAGTTTGTGATAAGCAGTGTCAAGTGTTACTCACTTCCAATTCTTGACATCCAACACACACCACAAAGGGGCCTGGATGTGAAATTCCCAAAAGTAACCCCATCCAGTTTCTTAATGGTTAAAAACATAATCTCAAAATCAGTAACTAGCTGATTAATAAAGTACAATTGGAACCTGCTGTACAACAGAAGACACTAAAAACACCTCTAAAACACCAAACCCACAGTCCAAAAACTTCTACTAGAGGTTCTTGTTTTTTGTTTGTTTGTCATTAGTGGATAATTCTGCAGAAAGCAAAGACAAAAAATGTCAATAAATGTGCCAAGATGTGCAGTGCCTAGAAATTAATATATTATCTTTTATTATTTCCTTCACTTCACTGCAAAACAGCACTGTGATGTTCAGCAGCCATTTATGATTCACCTGGCTGGCAATTTGATTGAAACCTAGACATAGACTGTTTGCACATTGTGCTAACTGCTTATTTGATAGAGTTAAGTGATACAATTGAATTATAACTGTCCCAGATTATGTTGCATTGTCTTCCTGGATCTCATTATGAAGATGCAACAACCCTCCAGAGATGTCTGTGGAATGCTCTATTTCGTTTAGAGTATTTTGAGTGCAGTACATTCACTGAAAAATGGGCTTTTTGTTAAAAAAATGTTAGACAAAACCTAAAATGCAAATGGGATTTTAATCCTGCCTCCCCAACATGGCTTTCTTTCTCCTTGTGGAATGGTTTTGGTCTCCACAGGGAGATGACAAGTCATTCCGGAGGACGCCCTCATGGAGGAAAAGATTCCGCCCGCGTGACGGCCATGGTCTCAGCATGATGCCCGGCTCCATGGAAACACTGCCCGCCGGCTTCCGCGTCACCGCCATGTCTGTTCCCTCCGCTGTGGCGGTGATGCCCAAGAAAATACCCCATGAAGGTCGGTAGGGTCCAGAAGTCCTTCCTTTACCCAATTCATCCTTGCGAACAGCACAGCTGACACTTCAGTTCAGAACCAGTCATAGCCCTTAAGTATATTGCTCTGAACAATAACTAAACAATTAAAAAGGCATCTTAACCCTTCGTGTTTTATTTATTGCTGTTTGTATACCACATTGGTTTCATTGCTCCGTGTCTTGTGTAAGCACTCCTGGTCTCAAACATTTGTGCAGGTATATATTATAGGACGTTTTTACAATTATTGTAAATTATTGTCAGGAAGACTGAGCCCAGCTGTACAGCAGTGGAAATGAAGCAAAAGGACCAAAATAAGCAAAGGCATTATTAATAGAATACCTGGTAGTATATTAAAAGATTACATTTCTAATTTGAGGGGTGCTGTCTAAGAGTTTAAGGCTATACTGAACCTGTTAGAAAAAAATCATGTGGCCCATCTAGCCCATTTGGTAGTAGTTAATTTATCCAAGGATTTTTTGTATAACAACATAAAAATAGAAATAATCATATTATTTATGATTAATCAATAGCTTTCAATAGCTTTACCAGTTTACAGGCTGGTGGTATGTGACTTCAAAATGATGTGCATTTTGCTCAAACTATATTGCCCCAAAGTTAAAACAACTTTCAACAACAATCTAATCTTCAACCCTGTTGGGTTTTAGACTGAAAAGACACAGTTTCAGCTTTCCTTTAATTGAAAAATGTCAACATTTTGACAAGCAAAGGTCATTTAGCCATTCAAACACATTTGGTTGCTGTTATGAGCAAAGTGTCATAATAAATTATTTCACAGGTAATTCCACACTATTGGCTGCAGTCTGACTAGGCACTGGCAGTATGTCTAATGACTCTGCATAAAGATTTATTCCGCTCTGGAGAGTCCTAAATGTAATCTATGCTTGTGTCCGTGGGTGCCTGCACAACTGCTAATCTAAGACAAATCCAAGTCAAATCCCCTACTCACCTGGAGAATGCAGAATTGCTTGATACAATAGCTAATTATAGAATTTGTGTTGTGTGAATTCTTGATCTTATGTGACTCCAATATACCTGCAAAAGTATTTTTGTCTAATCTTATTCATAAGATTAAGATTCATTTTCATTTTCTTAAAACTGTTTATTAAAATGTGAAATATACCTACTAGTTACAATGTGACTGTCTGTGGACCCTCTCCAGTCCATATGTAATTTTCTTCAATACAAATTAATCTGAAGGCAGCTATTTTATGTACAAATTAAAATGCTCATAATCTTCCTACATGATTTATGTTACCAACAGTTAGCTAATCACCAAAATTACCCTTGACTAAACACCATTTATGTGCAATCCCAGAAACAGCAGGTCATTACTTATGATGTTAGTGACTTCAAGGGAGGAACAGGCAATCTTTTACGTTTGCAAGTATTACACAAAACTCATGAATTGGATGAAACTGAATTAATGTTAAATGTAAACAATGGTAATTCTTAAAAAAAAAATTGAAAACAGTTACTTACAGTCCATGAAAACATTGCAATGACATCATTAGCCTTGATAGTCTCTACACCCTCTCTACTAAATATGCCCTGGGTAACTGGAGTTGTGTGTTACTCTCACACAGTGACTGGGGCTGTGTGTTACTCTCACACAGTAACTTGGGTTGTGTGTTACTCTCACTCACACAGTAACTGGGCTATGTGTGTTAATCTCTCACAGTAACAGGAGTTGTGTGCCTTTCAGGATGTACTCACAGCTTGACTGTTCCACTCACAGCATGTTGTTTCCCTTTTGTGTTTGTCGTGACTTACTGACAGCTGGATCCTCAGGGTCACAGAGAATAGACACCTCCACTGTTCGGACTTATTCTTGTTAATACAAAAGGGACTAACAATTGCGGGCAGTCAAGGTAAGCATTTTTCAGAAACATTGTGTCATATTCAGGCCCTTATTTCAATTTCAGTTTCCATTTTATTTGTGCCTCGGTCACGCTAATCACGGTCTTAATGTGTTTTATTGCATTTTATTGACATACTGTAGGCCCTCACATTTAGCTTATTTCCTTTTTTTACCAGCTTACAGAAGCCAGAACTAAATAAATTCCGATGAATATTGAGGAGAAAATATTCTGCAGTGTATCTCAAGTTATTCACAGAGAGAAGTACAGTAATTAAAGATTTTGGTATAATATTGTAAAAGATTGATATGGAGTAAGGGATACTCACAATTGATTGTGTGAAGCTTTCAGCCCTCTTTCATACCACTTTTGTAAAGAATATTTTATATACTGTACTGTACAGTATGTAGTCAAAAGACCTTGATTAAATTTCTGACACAAACAGGATTTACTTTTATAACTTGGCTTCTTAACCTGGTGGCCAGGTGCTTCAGCTGATCAGTTGAGAAATTAATAGTTTGTCAACATGTCACTGTAATTATTCATTTTCTTTAGGGCTTAGATTTAGACTTATATCTGATAGATTTTGTCTTGGTTCTGAGCTACACTGTGTTCACCTGCTGATTCTTAGTTTTGTTCAGCAGAAATAACAAACAGCAGTGAGTCATGAAGGTAGGAGCTCTCAATCACTGAGTCCCCAGGCTCTGTCTGTGATTCTTTCAGCTCAGTAGAAACATGTTATCTTTTTTTAAGCCTCCAGGGACACCTCAGAGAATTAAAAACAAAACTGTTGCGCTCCCACATGACCACAAGGTGTCACTTAAACACTGGACAGAGTTTACAACATTGTCCTGTAGTTTGCTACAGTAGGTGAACAACAACATTTCAATATTTAGTTTTTTCAGCTTACATTGTTCAACAATTTTCCAGCTGTGTTTTCTTGCTTGGGCTTGTGTGGCATCTCAGTGCAAACACTCTTTACTTTATTGTACGTTTATTTAATCACCTCTCAACCCTTGACCTCAACAAATGATTTTGAACAATGCTTCTTGTGTTCGAGAGCAAAAAGTAAATTCTTATTTTTTGGAAACATCTTCAACTTTAAAATAAATAATTTAGTAAGAGACAGCATGTTTGTGTGGAGGAGGAAAATTATTTTATTGCGAAGTTTAATATGTTTTTGGAAAAGACACTGTATTTTAACTGGACATACTGTAGACTCCTTTACAGCATTTTACACTTTTACAACATGGGTTCCCTATTTGAGTGCACTTTTCATCATTCAGTGTTTATGAGAACACGTGAGCTGCTTATGTGTCTCTGGTTTTAGTTGATAAAATTCAAAATATTGTTTTCATTGGCTCATACAGGCTGGTTCAAATAGCTAATATCCTTCTGGTCATGGACAAACTACGTCATGAAAATCCTTTGAGTCTTTTGTTTTCTTGAAATTAAATAAACAGCTCCACAATTCGTAATAGTTATGCTTGCTAAATAAACCCTGTTTTTAAAACATTCTCGAACTTTTGCCAAATCCGTTGTGTTTTGTGTCCCATTCCTTACAGTGCACTCTCATTACCTATATGGACATATGCTCGCGGCCTTTCGGGAGTGAACTTCTACATTTAAACAGGATGTCTTGGATGACTGTGGGAAGTGATACTGCCTGACTACAACAGGATTTCCTCACGTGCTGTGCAATAGGGACGATGAGGCTCCTAGACTCTGAAGTCTGAATGCACAGAAGAAGTGCGTGTACTGTACATGACAAAAAGGCAACGTCAGTTTTTACAATAGTGTTCCAGTATTTCAAATTAACTTGTAGCTGTGATGTTGTTCTGATGCTCCCTGTTTTAAACTGGTCTATCATGCCTTGTATTCTGGTGGTCATAGTATATTTCCTAGTTGTATCTATAGTATATATAAGACTTCTCCTTCGGTTATGCAAGGTGATTATTTTTTCTCTTTTCTGTATATAAACTGAATGACTGGAAAATGTTTTATAGAAATCTATATGGAATTTAAATGATATCCTTACTGTTCAAAACTGAACCTTTGTCCTACCAGTGACTGCTATTGTTTGTTTGACATCTATTCCCCTGGTTAGTACTTCATTGGTGTGCAGTTTTAAACTATGAAGTCTTCTTTTACCAGTGGAAATAGTGCGTGGGTTACATTGCAATGGTATCTGTCAGTAAGAATAGGTCATTTCTTGAACCCTAAAAAATGTTACTTGACAATTCTCTGCAGTTAAACAAGCTCAGTCATGTTTTGTCCCTTTTAGTATAATAACAGTAATATTGAAAATGTTAATGGTCTGGGTTGCTAACAATTTAAGAATTTATCATGGTTGGGTAGAAATAGATCTCTGATGTAATAACTGCAATACTAATGCATATGAACGTCAAAGGCACCCACTAGTCTTGCTTTGGGTGAGACCCAGGTATTAATAGAATCAATGGATTTCTGATCAAGGGCTTCATATACAGTATCTGAAGGATTTATCTGATGCTAGGATTTACCAAACAAATGTGGACATGAAGCAGGAGTGAAGCCCGTCCAATAAGAGGCCTGATTGTACAGTATATCATGCCTCCAGTTCCCCTTATATTGGAAATATACAGATTTACTTCAGATTAAATATAAATAAACTGGCAGCTATAAGACGTTTAGTCTAGTGTAAAGAGCCGAGAAATTGACTATAAACTGCAGTCAGAAAACAGTTGCAAACACAGGACTTTTTAAAAATTAACTACTTCATTTTGAGGTTATGCTCATACTGTACTTGAATCCATATAGGTGTCAGTCCATTTAAACAACTAATAAAAATACCTTCAAAAATATTGGTTGTCCTTTACTTTTGTTTAAGCACTTAGCAAAGATATGGACACTTGTCTGACGGAGTGTGCAGAGCCAAAAAAATCAAAAGTGATGGAAGTTAAATTTGAGGTGCCGTAGCTTTATAAATAATTATGTGTGGGCTTATTTGTTGTGTGAATAATGCCAATGTTAACCATCTAATGTGATCTAATAGAATGATTATACATTTACATGTATTAGTTGGTCATTATTTATTGTGCAGACATAGAAGTCTAAGACTGTGTTGTTGATACCTGATTTTGACAATCACCTGTCAGTTGTAGTTTAATTAATAACCCTTTAATACTGTCTTTTTGTTGTATTTACTGTATTTATTTTTTGCCAAGTTTGCCTTGTAACAATCAAAAGGTCTTGTTTTTTTTCCAAAGGGAGTTGATGAACCACAAAAGCAGTAATGAATCAGTATTCTGATGCCAAGCAGTACAAAAATCTATACTAATTTATTTGAAAGAAAAATGCCATTAATGTTTGAATTATGTTTGTTAACTGTTTAATTATTTTTGTTTGTGCTCCTGTTCACCATTATTGGACCCCAATTCGATTCTATCAATTAGTTCCAATTTCTCAATATTCTGGCATGGACCTATAGGATATCTCCAAGATGAGTAATAATTAAAATTACAGTACCTAGCACTACAGACTATCTACCTCAAATTCATATACAACGGAATTCCATATCAAAGGTACTGCCAATGTAGCGCTGGATAGGTAAAACAGTTGTTTCTTCATTAATTTGTAAAGTCTGTGGTTTAGAACATAAATACTGTACGTTTAAAATGAGAATATAAATTAAAACATCTACCTACAGTAATTTGTTTTTTAAATAGCTAAATGGTTTATGAATCTGGACTTTTTTTTAATCAGAGAAACCTGGGCTTTGACTTCAAAAACATGGCTAGGTAGCGTGTTCTAGACTCTCACAACCATTTTTGTTCACTTTTACCTCATGTTCTCATCTTGAAATGTGTTTCCCCTTGATTTTTGTTTGTGTCCTATGGATCATGTTTTACTGTTTACTCATGAAGAAGTCCAATGGGATGAGTTTGCCCTTAGGGATTTTTAATACTTGAATCAGGTTCCTTCATAGTCTTACCATTCATGACTAAAAAGGTTTAAGCTCTTTTAGTCTGTCAGTTTGAATACAGTATACCTGGTCGCTCTTCTCTGAACTGAATTGTAGCAGCATCTTCTTGGTATCATGGCAACAAACATTGTGCACAATATTCTCAATGAGGTCTTACTAGAGCATGTTACAGTTTTATGAACTCAACATTTTTAAATATATATTTCATCAACATTTTTAAAGCGTGGGAAAGTGGAGTGTCTTATCTCACATGCAATAATGGTATATCATTGTAAGTTGTGGTGTATGTACACTGTAAGTTCCTAGTGTCAAGGAAGTGCATTTTTGTGTGAGAATAATCGAATATCATTCTCAAGGTTTAAGCCACCTTTCAAATACTTGTTATACAAAGAAACAGGTTTCACTTAAGGAAATGTTCTATGCTATATTTTATGTGCCTAAACAATAGAAACAAACTAAGTGTTGTGAGATGTCTGTGACAATGGACACTTCTGTAATCATGGTTCATTAGGGATACAGTGCCCACTATGTATTTTAATAATTTCCTGAGAGTACCGGATCTCAGAAATGATAGAGCTCTTTTTTGGCGAGGTGCTAGTGCAAAAACAAATAGACTGTTGCAGGAGTGTATTTACAGAAGATGCTGGTTTTTTAATTATTTGTTTTTTTTATATTTATTCGATTGATTGGGATCTTTTGGAATATTCTGACTAACTTTAGTTGAAAATGTTCTGCTGAAATGTGAGGGTATTTAGGCCCTGAAAAATTTCAAACAAGTTATTCTAATAATATGATCTATTTCTAATGGGATATATTACACCTGAATATGCCTGTTCTCTGCTCTCAAACTGGATATTGTCTCTTGGATTTAGCAATCGGTGCAATGTGCATGCTTCATATACTTGTGGATTTTTTTTTACTTTTTATACATCACTGATGGGTTATGTTGCCCCTGTTGCCATACAAGTTAAGCACTTCAGAAGCGCAATTCTTATTAGTTGTGTATTGACAGGAGCTGCTCCAGTATTTCTATGTTCACACTATGCTTTAAAATAATCCAGCATTCCCATTGATGTGTTGATAGAGTACCAATTAATTTCTCTTTTAATGTAATGTACCTTCTCAATGTCTGTTTTGTTGATTGAAATGTCTCTTCCCAGCCTAGTTATCTGTGGATCTTTATGAGTGCTTGAAATTGTGGGAGCAAAAAACAAAGAAATATATATATATATTTGGTTGCATCCGTTTGTCATTTTCTTTTAAGCAGTTTCAATTGTCATTAAAACGTGTCTGAAACTGGGATATAATTTGCAAAAAAAGAAAAATGTGCAATAAATTCATCTTTTGAAGTATGAGAAAGGACTAATATGTACTGTATGTATACCATAAATGGAGTTTATTTCTAATACTTTGTATAAAAAACATACTGTATACTGTACACATTCAAATTAAGCTGCTACTGTTTCTGAGACTGGTTTATATTAATTTAGGTTTTGATCAAACAGTTTAATAATAGATTTAATATTTATTAATTAGATTTATATGAATATCACCATTACATTCTTGGTAATAACATTAACACGTCATTGTAGAATTGATAAAGAGGCTTGACAATGAAACATAGTTTAATTTCTTTTGAACATAATCAGAGACAGAAACAAGACACTTGGAAAATACAAATACACATCAGTCTTTATTATAAAAATCCAAAATAAGTTAACAAAAAAAATAAAATAGCAAATCCACTCTGTAAAAAAGACACATATTTACATCACTTTCTTCCACATTTCTAGCTTAAGTTAAGCAAAAATTGGTCAAACTGCAGTATAAAATATTGGCCCCACATGAATAACCATTCATTTTAAGCAAAACACACACAAATAAAATGCAAGACCAAAAGGTAAATGCTTTAAAGGATGATCTCAACTCATCAATATTAAGTTAAGGAGCAAAGAGCTGTTAGAATCGTTAAAGCTCTCACTTCACATATCTATACGTATAAAATAAAATAAAAAATGGACCACACATTTTGTACAAGGAAACCACTAAGTCATGATTTGACATGTTTTGTGGTTCTTGACTCTCAGGAGTGCTTTTGGTTCTTTGGAAGATTTGTGTTCGGCTCCGTCAAAGCTCTCATTTGGAAATATCCCCTGGGTAGGTGACCGCTGTGCCTTCCACAGTAATGCTGTCCACTATGGAGCTCAAAGACCGAAGGTTGGGTTGTTCCGAAGAGTCTTCATTAAGAAGGTCTAAAAAAATATAAAAATATCAAGTATAAAAAATATGATGAGGATGTGTCCTCATTTAGCTGTTTTCCCTTATTTCTAATTGTGCTCTGTAGCACAATTATATCACACACATAGTACAAGAAATTATCAGCTACTCAAGGAATGACTGAATTCACAAGGCTGTGTTGTGGGTGACAATGATCAATTCTTGTGTCTTCAATTAAGAAGGAATAAACGACACTATTTTTAAAACATGCCTATTGAGGAAAAGGAGCTGTTGCACATTACACATGTGTACGTGTACCATGGAAGGATGATGGGTAAAGTGTGATTAAGAGAAGAATTGTGGCATCGACAAAAAAAACAGCAGACATAAGATTAGGCTTGTTAAATTGTTTAGTGTGCTGTTTTGATGGTAATACATGATAAACGGAGGTATGTTTTCTGAAAAATGTAGGAATTCAGCACTTGCCTCATTTTTAAATAACTGCATTTCCCTCATTTACAGCTTCCCCAGTGGTGTTTGTATCCAGATAAGGGACACAGCCATACAGTAGCTAGTAAGCAAAACATCCTTCATTCTCATTTGTTGGCATAATTCAGTCCCTGAACAATTAGGAATCCAGCGCTTTTTGCCTGTCATGGATTAATTACCATTATATTCAAAATCCTAATTATTTGTTGTAAGCTATAAAACAAGAATGTTCCATCTTTAATAATAAGTTTAGTACAAAGCTTGCTTCAGTTATACTAATGTATTGTCAGCTTCTACCATATTGTTGCTGTTTTCTTATATCATAATTATTGGTTAGCAGCAGTATTTTCTTTCACCAATATGTTGGTATGTTGAATGATTATACAGTAATATCATTGACATTTAGAGAACATTTCTATTTCAATTTAGTTGTTTTTTTTTTCACTTTTTCTTGCAGGAATTAGACATCAAACTCCTAACAACATCTGCATCCCTGACAAGTTCTTTATTTATTTTCAAGTAAAATTTAGAAATGTTTTTTACATTTCTATAAAAAAGGGAAATGAGAGGAGAACGTACAAAAAAATAATCCTGGTTAATATGTGATGTTTTTTTTTTTCCTGGCTTAGTCAGAATACCCTTGAAAATGAGAGTCTTGAATGCTCTAGTTTTGTTTTTGGTAAGTTCAAAATGACCTTAACAGAAAAGCTCGAGAGATATCCATGTAGAATAAATGCCTGCAGTAGGAAGCTCCTAGCACACCCTTGTCACGCCCACAGGCTGCGTAACTGCTGCCTTACCCTCAGGGTTGTTGCTGAATGCGTGGCCACAGTGATCTGAGGGGCTGCTCCACTCCGGGCTGCTGCAACAGGTGCTGCCAGAGCCCTGCTCACTGGAAGACGACACCTGCCGCCAGGAACACATTGACATCACACAGTCAGGCATGTCAGTTTCATTCACTGGACGTAAACAGCTAAGGGTTGGCTGAAACAAAGCACTATATCACACAAGCAAGTACAAGCAAGACCTTCCTCCCCAAACAATAACTGGAACTTTTACCTTATCAACCAATAAGACTCATATAACTGTTTTTTTTTCATTTTGTCTTGAATTTGTCTGGGAGGTTTCCTGAAAATATAAAGATCTTTATCCTTATAAAATTAGCTCATATACTGTAGATTATGGGTTTCAGGTCTTTAATTTTTTGGGTAAAACATTTGCAATTATTTGTTAGTTTTGTGATGGTTTCTCAGAACAAGCGGGAATCCAGGGCTCTTTGCCAGGCAGATGAAATGTATGTCCATACTAAATTAGTATGCTATTTTTTTTTTAAAATAAGTCGGTTTAGATAGCATAGTGTCAAGTGAAACTGAATAAAAAGTGTTGTATTTACAGTATGTGTTAAAACTTGGCTTGCAATAGAAGATAAAGACAACATTATGTCATTCAAACTTCATACACATATAAATAAAAAAAAATGATTTTAACTTAATTCTACAACAACACATAGTATAAAAAACAATATGCAGAGCTATAATATATACTACACATCTGCTTTAAAACATGTGTCCTGAAAAATGTTACTACTGAAAAGATTGTGTAGAAAATAGTACTTGTTCATTAATATTGATATTCTATTTCATTTTATTTTTATGGTCTGAATAATAAAGTCTAAGATAATTATTGGCACTTTTGAAAAAAGTTCCTTAGCCTATTAAGGAGGCATAGTACAGGACAGGACCAGTGTTTTTTATTTGCTTGTCTAAATATGTGCTGTCCCTCAGACCTGGTAAATACATTGAATTTTTTAAATTGTATGATGTTTCCAGTATAAAAAAGTGTCTTCCGGTGGTTACATTTGGTTTCCAATAAAATAATTGCATACACTACAACAAAAGGTTAATTACTCTTAAACCCAAAACGTTTACAATTGGAGAACTGTCATTCAAAACACTGGCACTGATGCTGTAATGACACCAAACACTATTATTAAATATGCTTTGTTATTAAACATGTTCTTAAATATTCTGCATCCAAACACTGCCAAATCTGTTGTTGTAATCATTTTCTGCTAAAGATCCAATGTTTTCTTGCTTAGCTATTCTCTTTTAAACTAAATAGTTGATTTATACTTTAAGTTTCAGCTCTCTAAGGGCTTGATAATCAGACTTGTTTGTAGGTCTTAATTTAGTGACACTAAAGTTGGGAAAATATGTCAAAGGTTTATGTTTTTTAATTAGATATGTCTGTGCACCAGTGAGGAGGTCTGGGAGTACTGTTTACAATAAATACAAAGTGAAATAAGACTGAGACTAATGTAAAGGTAAAAGACAGTAATTTCAGGTGTAAGAAAAAAACAATGATCATCTTGTGTGCTTGTAGCCCTGTTATTTAAAAATCCATATTTCTTTTGAGATCATGTACTCAGATCTTATTGTTGGATTTCTCAAGCCTTCATTCCTTAAGGACAATTGGTGTTAGTTTAAAAAAATACCTTAAAATAACATTTAAAATACTTTACAATTAAAATAATACTCAAAACACCAATGTAGAGTGCATTGCAAATGGATAGTTAAATGAAATTTTAGTAAATCTAAATCCATTAACCCACTGAAATAGATTCTATTTCATCAAAGCCAGAGACATTGTACATTTGAACATGTTTTTTTGAGTTACAGTAGTGATAATTATTGTTGTTGTTGATACTTGTAGAAAGCTGTTAAAACTTGATCCTTGCTGAAAGGACTAGTCAAACCATACAAGGTAGTGATTACCATTAGACTTTTTGTTGTTATTTATTTTTTGTTTACAGTAACCCCCTCAGTAACATCAGAGTACTGCAGGTCAGTGACAGGACACACCCTGCACGGTGCACTTGCTTTGACAGCCGGACCTCCCTCTCTGCTTCATTCACTTACCCTCTGGGAGCCAGAGCCCCTGTAGTGGAGCCCACCCTGTTCTCTCTCCTGCTGGTTCAGGGAGCTGACCAGCGCCTGCAGCCTCTCAATGTACTGGATCGCACTGCGCAGGATCTCTACTTTAGGGAGCCTCTGGTTGGGGTTCATGAGAGTGCTCCGCTTAAGCGCTTCGAAAGCCTCGTTGACCTTCTTCAGCCTCCTCTTCTCCCTCAGGGTGGCAGCTTTTCTGCGATCCATGGTGACGGATTTCCGCTTGCAGATTTTGCAGGCCCAAGGCAAACACTGGCCGGGGCAGTGCTCTTGAGGGGACAGGCTGGCCGCTGGGGACACCTTGTCTTCCAGGCCCGTGCCGGACAGTAACCTGCTGTCAGAGCACAGTCCCATCACTGGTCGCTCCTGGTAGGTAGTTTGATCGAAAGCACCTTGCAGCCGGGTGGGGAAAAAATTTTCACCTCCTTCATAGAACCTCTGATCGGGAAAGAAATAAGGGTTGGTCTCAAAAAGCTCCATTTTTCTGGCCAGTGCAAGGTCACTCTCCACTCCTCGCCACTGCTGGTCTGAAAATTTGTGCTCGTGTTCACAGGATCTGTGGAAAACAACTGCTCACACCAACTGTTTGGTGGCATTTAAACCCTCTGCTTGGCATTAGATCACTGGGTTAAATATAGAGAAGCCCAGAGAAACCTGATCCCACTTTTAGCTGTTGCCTCACATCCAAACTTTACATCTCTTTTCATTCTTGATCTCTTGGGGGGTTTTGGGGCGGTTTGGTTCAAGGAATAGTGACACAGTCTTTTAAAAGATAGGAGGACCCTAGCTTTGTTCTTTCAAGCAAAAAGAGTTAAATAAAATGTAATGCACTGTACACAAATTACCCAAACCCTAATGAATGCAGTCTTAATAAGGCATTGATTCCCATTTTTTATTTTGTTTCAAAATCTATTGCTACAATAATCAATTTCCTTTGTCTTTTTTACCATCTCGTATACAATATAACCATTTTTAAAGCTTTAGACCTTTTGGAAAGTGTATCCATTTAGAAAAGAAAAGGTAAAGATACTTTATGAGGCTGATTGCCAGAACTTCACACTTTGGTAAAATAAAAGAGGGTTTTCATTTTTTTATTTTAAGTAAATTAATTTTTTGGAAGAAACTCCCTATCAATGATCCATGCAATAATTTAGACCAAATGACTCCAATCAGCTCTACACTAATTGATGTAACTTGAACACCAGATTAGGAATTTCCACCAAGATGATCTGTAATACTACATGATGACTGCTCACTGAAATCAGAGAGAAGTAAATTAATTGTTGACAGTTAATATCTCCTCTGTGTTCTTCCTGAACTTAGATAATAATGCAGTGCAGCTATTGTTGATTTAGACATATCCCAGTTAAGTTATCTGATTAACAGGACTCACTATTAACGGCTTTCAACACTACACAGTTATTCAAATACTGGCTGTGTAACTTTTTTTCGCACCCTCTAAATGAACATGAATGCTCTTGGTTCAGAAGTGCATTAGCCCTGCCAGTCAGATTTCACTATCTCTGCAAACTGCAGCCCAGAAGCTTGTCCTCTCCCCTTAGTAACTCAGCCCAGGCCTGATGGATTAAGTGATTCTGCTGTTTGCTGTCAGTTTAAAGTGTGATGGATAGTCACTGATGGTTGAGGCAGTACAAAGACATTACTGTACTGGAGAGGGGTCCTCTCAGTGTGTTATAATCACTCATTACTACCTTAACATTTGGCCACTGGGTTCCAGAGCAGCATTATAATATTTAACCTTATTTATATTTATATTATATTTAATATAATTTAATAATAACACCTGAAGAAGGCTCCACGGCCGAAATGTTGTGTTTTCTTTCTTCTTTTTTTCAGCATGGGATAAACCTATCACTTGTTCCTTTGCAGCCTACACATGCTGACGCAGCTAACCACCTGAACTTATAATATTTAAGTCAGTTTTATATGGATTTATTTTTTATTAAATTTTGAGTTCTCATCTCAACCTTCCATTCATCCATTTTCTAACTGCCTTATCCAATTCAGGGTCACGGAGGATGCTGGAGACTAACCCAGCAAACAACAGGCACAAGGTGGGATACAAACTGGTTGGGACATCGCAAGGCACACACATAACAGGGCCAACTTTACAAAAGCCATTTAACCTTCCTGTATGTCTTTTGATGGTGGAAGGAAACTGGATCACCCAGAGGATAGCCACACGAACACATGGAGAACTCCATAGAGATACAGTAGCACCCCAAGAATTGAACCCATTGCCCCAGGAATGCTGACCACTGTGCCACCCTATGTCTGGCTTCCTCAGAACATAGATGTCAACCATTTCACTTTTCTCGCTAAATGAAACGTCTCTTAGCAAAGCAGCTTCTTTGTCACTTAAGGAAACAAATGGTAACAGTGACTTGACATTTCATTAGCCTGTATATTTCCTTGTTTAGCTTCTTTAATTTCTTCGGCGCTGCCAGAATAGAAATCAGCGCAATGTCAACATTTGGACACGAAAGTAAAATAACAGAGTCATTTTTCAAAATTACATCCAGATAATTCTGTAGCTTTGCTGCATATTCCAACAGTGGTTTTTGTACTCCCATACAGTATAGTCTGATAGGACCACTTTCAAAGTGTTCTTGCTCTTGTGCAAAATATGGTCCATTTTTCTCTTCCAGTACAGAGACCAAATTCCAAAATCCTCTAACAATTTCTTTTCCACACCCGTTTTGTCTTCAGCCTTTTAAAGAAAAGACATTTTAAGAAAATTACAGCAAATCAAAGTGAATTGTGTTTTGTAAGGACAGTGGGTGCAGCAAAAATATACTGTAGTGCACCTTGGGGTTCTAAAGCAGAAGGAAGGGAGTTAATGCTGCATTTTTGGTGTTAAAAGGTTGTGTCTCTTACTGGTGTCTGACAAAGATCAACCTAGTAAAACTAATCAGACTCAAGAAGATAGATATGTTTATTACCAATAAGTGCGTTTTATATCACTGCCAGTTTTCTGAGTGTTTGCAGTTGTAAATCATTTTTCAAAATCCTATCGTGGTCACTTTTGTGTGGTAGGGGTTACTTTTGTTTGTGAGGTTGATTCATGATTGGTGATTCATGGCAGTCTTTCCTGTGGTTTTGCAGATCTAAAGTCCCACCGAACATGAGCTACCAAATGCTAACTTATGTAAGCAAGTTGCTCCAAGTCTGAGAATCTGTCTTTTGAAATGTACAATTTAGAGTATGCTAGTGCATGTCAATACTGGATCCGCAGCTGATTTTTCCTTGTACAATACAAAATGTCAGCCATGAAAATAGTAATATTGATTTGCTTAGTAGGTGTTTGAAGAAAACAGGAAGTGAAAAGGTTTGCCCGTGGAGTTAAATGGCTTCTGGTTTTTTAACGGTTCGGGTTTGTCGATACCAAGTTGAAGAAGTGACCAAGAGAGCAGCTTTAGGAATTTCTTCTCGCGATCAGAGACTTGTCGTTGCTTGTGTTCCTGCTTCATCACTGACAAGCAGGAGCGCATTGCGAGACAGCTGTGGCGGGTGAATTAGCTTCTTGTGAAGAAATGCCCAGAACGTGGCCGCATTAGCTATGGAATGTGCTCTCTTCTCTCATACTTGGCTCCCGACCCCTAGAAAAATATTATGCCCTCCGTTATTGCTTCCAAGAGAGTGCTGGCCTCTGTAATGACTGCGACAGATGCTTGCCTCCACCGTGTTTAGAGCTTTTCTGCTTTTGACTTCTAAGTTGCCTGTTGCTATGGGATTTGCTTTGTCAAATGATCCGTTGACTGCTCAGATTAAATTTCATCCAAAGTGTGCTATAGAACATGTGACTTGTATAGAAAATGTGTTGTGAATGCAAAAGATCAGTTAGATCCGTCTGTCTAATCTTTAGCATTTTTTATTCCTTTATTTGTTAAATGAAAACATCTTGAGTGTATTTTTGCTTTATGATAAGAATATGTTTATGATATTTTTAAATGTGTTTCTTATTATCAAACGTTATTTTAAAACTATAAATATTGATGTCTATTAATATATCTACTTATCTATCTTTTGTTGTGACCAAAGTCATTTCAAGGGGCAAAGTGTGAATTTGCCTTCTAAAAAATGTAAGGTATGTGCATCAATCATCAGACATTAACTGCAGAGCACAGGGATCTTTGAAGTGTGGGACAAAACATTTAACTCTGAAAATGAAGGTGTTGATTTTTATTCACCAATGATAGATTGATGGAAGTTAAATTCAAAGTGCTTGAGTATAGTTTACATACAGTATAGGCAAAGATATTGCATTATATACTTGGAGATTGAGGCCATGGATAAATCTTTTTAGTCTTTTTTTAAGAGTTTTAGTCTCCTACTACAAAGACGTTATGCACAGTACCAGTGAGAAAGCATAAATTTATTTTACGTTATTTCAAGTTTTTATTCTGGCAATACTTATAGTAAAATAAGAAAACTTGAGGTCAGATAAATGAATATAGCTTTGATGGTCTGTGTCAGTGTAGGTACTGTACAGTATGTGTATGCAGCTTCCTGTAAACTGTAAATTAGTGAATGAATGACTTCCTTTCTCACATGCATAATTACCCACAGTAAATGGAAGGACCTACTGTAAATGAGTAAATGCTTTTGCCAATGCGATTATTTTGAATTTGACTTTAATAGTTTCCAGAATTCTCTCTCAGGTCTCTGTACAGGTATCTGTACATAACTTAATTCACATTTAGGAAATCACAAGCCACTACAAATATATGTTTTTCTATGCTCTTTCACAGCTAAAGAAAAAAGGGGACTATTGACAGAGAGATAGCTGGAAGGAAATACTACATGTTGAAAATGGTCATTGCACTTGACCTGTTGGCTTCTCATTGACATGACTGATGCAGAGCTGTGACTTGCAATGGATTATCTCCAAGGGCATTTTTGGTCCTATTCACAGGTACTGTACATTTGCGTCATCATGTTATTTCTTGTAGATTTTGTTTGCAATAAGATCTTATTGATTTTCCTGACAAATATTCGTATACATTTCTTACTATGTATCTTCCAAGTACAGCAATTAGTTTTCTGTGTTTGCTGTATGCTCCAATCTTCAATCCCAGTTTAGTGAAATGTATATATTGCCCCCTGGATTGGATTTGGGAAGATGATTCTAAACATTGTGTTTATTAATGTACCCTTTCCATCTCCATTCTGTCGAAAATAATATTTTGCTACTTGCAAAAATAAACACACTGCCATAATAAATACAGTACATGGCTACACTGAGAAGCCACAGGATTTACTAAAGATATAATAAGTTCTACTGTACTGTATATTAGTGATCAGAATCACCCGCAAATTCAGATTGAGGGACTGATGACACAGAAACCTCAGCAGCTCAGATACAAAATGAAAACAAGCTCACTTGTTTTTTTTAAATTAGTTAACTATTGTGTTTGAAATGAGAACAAAGGTGAGTTTTAAGGAAAATACAGTGACTATTGAAAGCAAACCCTTTCCTAAAGTAAGTACAGAAAACAACTGATGTTACAAATACAGTATAGTCGGTTAGACTGGGATCATTCCTGGATGGTTGTTTTTTCTTTCTAGCTTCAG